TCCGAGTTCATAATTCTTTTATATATGTTTACTGCAATTTGTTATGTAATTCTAACACAAGGAACGTACAAAAATCTTGACAAAGTCCAAACCAAAAAGTTTTCTGTAAATTTCCATTTTTACATGACAGCGAAAACAAAACAAATGTCTTTTTTGTACTATTTCCATCGCAAATTATCCGAAAATAAAATATAATTATGTGCTCTCTCTCTCTCTCTCTCTATTTAATTGGAAGGAAGCAGATATTCATTACGTTAATATCATTAAGAGAAGATTAATTTTAGTGAGAGAAATAAATAGATTCAAAGTACAGAATTTAAATGTTTTATCACATATAGAAAGCTTCAAATATAATTCACGATTATATAAATAAAGTCTCCTTTTAACGGAATATTATTTTTTTATTTTTATTTCTATTTTATTAATAAAATTTTTATTGTTTTTAATTTTTTTATTTTTATTATTTCTATTATTCCCATTGTTATTATTTTTATTATTCCTATTATTCCTATTGTTATTACTTTTACTATTTCTATTTTATTTGTAAAATTTTTATTAGTTTTTATTTTTATTTCTATTAATTCTATTGTTATTATTTTTCATTTTTACTATTTCTATTATTCCTATTGTTATTAATTTCGTTATTTTTTTATAGACGAATTTATATCTTTTTACTTCTCCACATAATGTAAAAAATATATTAGGCTCTTTCCATCTTTATCACGTGAACCTCAAGTGAACATTGAATGTCAAATTCATTTTCAGATTCCACGTATTGTCCTAGAAGTAGCTAAAAAACTGAAGAAATTTTATAAATTGCGCCCAATTTTTTGACACTATAAATTGAACTGAAAATTTTCTTTCAATAAATACCTAATTCCTTAAATAAAATTAATAAGAAACCCTTCACTCCAAGGATTATTTATATTAAATTTAAAAACAAATATATAAAATTTAGAAACAGTAAAAATAATTTAAAAAAAAAATTAAATTGACTATAAGAATTATTTATATTAAATTTAAAAACAAATATACAAAATTTAGAAACAGTAAAAATAATTTTCAAAAATTAAATTCACTACAAGAATTATTTATATATTTAATTTAAAAACAAATATATAAAATTTAGAAACAGTAAAAATAATAAAAAAATTAAATTCACTACAAGAATTATTTATAATAAAATTAAAAATAAATATATAAAATTTAGAAACAGCAAAAATAATAAAAAATAGTACAAAAATAAAAAAAATTGTAAACAAAAGTAAACTGGAAAAAAATGTACACCCAGAGAAAAATTTTATTAAAAGATTAAAACCAAATATAATTTTTGTTAAATAAAAGTATTTTTATCTCAGAGTCCACTAAATTATTTATTTGTTTTAAATAAAAATTTTATTCAACGCAAATATATATATATATATATATATATATATATATATATATTAATGATAAAATTTCTCTGACTTAAAGAACAAATTTGTTGGATTTAAAGAAAATTTGTTTAAATCAAAGAAAAGTTGTCAAAAAAAATTTGTTTGGTTCAAAGAAAAGTTATGTAAATAAAAGAAATTTTCTTTGAATCAAAAACCCTGTTTTCGTTTAAAAGAAAAATTTATTTTCAATAAAACAAAAGGATTTATAAATTTATACTGATTTCTTCTAACAAAAAATTTTTCCTGAGTATAGACAAGTAATCGATTATTCGGATCAAATTAATTTTTTTCCCATTATGTAAAAAAAGTAATTTTCTTTTCACTTTATCAACTGTCTCCCTATAAAAGATAATTTAAATTAATCACTATAAATTCTTTTTTAAATCAACCAAACTATTCTAAAATGTTCATTTATTTCAATATTCTCCAGTTATCAAATCAATTCCTTAAAAGATCTTTTTTTTATTAGGAAATAAAAAAGTATCAGTTAAATATCACGTGAACATTGCACGAAGAATTTATATGATCAAATGTATGTATATGCACTCACGTGTTTCATTGATACAAAACACAAGAGAGGAATGAAGAAGATAAGAGGAAAATTTTCAAAGTATATTCAATTTTGTCTAATAACATGAAATAAAAAATAATAAGAAAAACTTTCTGATAATCTTTATTTCACAACTTGGGAGGGAATTTTCTTTCCCTCTATTTTTAGAAATATTATCATGAAAAAAAGTTTCGCAAATTTATTCATTTTTAATATTTTAGATACCGTTTTTCAATTTAATTATTTAATATTTAATATTAGTAATATTTCATATTATATTTCATTTATTATTACTATTTAATATATTTAAATTATTATTCTTAATATAATTATTTATTAATTGAATATTTTCATTAATTAAATAATTATAATAACTACTGAACTAACTAAAGTAACTAATTAATAAAACTACTAAAAATTTCTTTCAAAAAATTTCTTTATGAAATTTAATGAATTATTTTGTAAAAAAAATAATTTTTTGAAATATAATTATTATTTTAATTAAATTTTCAAATAATTTTAATGTAAAAACTTTTGAAATCTAATTATTTCTAAAAATTACAACTGCAATTTTTCCAAAAGTCAACAATTTTTTAGAATTTTTGAATAAAAGTTTTCAAAACTTTAATAATTTTTTAAAGTGAAAATAATATATTTCTTTCAATTAACATTTAAATATTATTCTACTTTTACGGCGATTAAAATTGTTAAAAAGATTTCAATTTAAAAATCTTTTAAAATTTTATTATTTCCTAAAATTCCTGTTATAACGCTTTTAATATTCAATTCTTTTTCAAAATTTTAACTGAAATTCTTCTTTTTAAATTAATTAAAATCTTATTAGAATTCAACGATAATTGATTTATTTGAATACAAAAATTTTTGTCAAATTTAATTATTTTCCAAATTTTTAGTTACAATTCTTCAAAAAATACAATGATTTAAAAATAATTTTTTAAAGTGAGAAAAAAAAATTCCTTCAAATATAAAATTTATTTTAATAAAATTTGAGAAAATTTCCTATTTTTCAAATTTTTAAAAAATTTTTTCTACAATACAACTACTTTCCAAAAATTTAAATTACGCTTTTTTAAAAAACTCATTTTTTCACAATATTTAAATAAAAATTTTCAAAAAATTAATTTTTATTTAATAAGAATACTTATTTAATTGTCGACCAGGAATAAAAATTTCAAAATATTTTCAACGTAAAACCTTTTGAAATTTAATTATTTCTAAAAATTAGAATTACAATTCTTGAAATATTTTCTAAAATTTTAACTGAAATTCTTTTTCAAAATCAATTCTTATCAAAAAGTTGCAAGAAAATTCAATTATTTAAATAAAAAAGTAATACAGAAACTGTTTGAAGACGCGGTACACCAATTGACGTCATTGTAAGAATTTTCTTTTTCTAACGATTTCCTAATGTTTTTTTTTAATTTTTTATAATAATTATTTGAATAAATATCAATCGATTAAAATGTGAAAAAATTGAATTTTTTCCCCGTTAAACTTTTAAAAAAAAATGCAAGCGCGCAAGATTTCTTAACTGAAATTTCTCCACTTTTTTGCTTTCTATCAACTATTCTACTATTTCCAGAAGAGTAAATTTTTGCTATAAGTTAGAAGTAAATTTTACTCAGCTCTACTAAAATCTACTCCTGGAGAAAAATTTTATTCAAACCAAATATAATTTATTTGAGCCAAATAAAAGTCTTTTTTGCAATTCAACGAATGGAAGTAATTAATTCTATACGTCAGATAATTTTATTATGATAATAATATTATGATAATAATTATTATTATTATTTAGACGAATTATTTTTTCACGTTACGAATATTGAAAAAAGTATTAGGATATTGAAAAAATACTCCAACAATTGTCAATAATTCGACAATAGCAAAACAAAAAAAATTTTTTAAAGAATAATTTGGTTTAAAAGAATTTTATTTTATTAAATAAATTTTATTTGGTGCAAACAAATTGTTTTTGGTTCATATTTTGTTTAATTACAAAGAATTTTATTAAAGTAAAAAAAAAATTGTATTTGGTTAAAAAAACTTTTCTTTGCTTCAAATGAATTTTATTTAGTTAAAAAAAAATTGTATTTGGCTCAACAAAATTCTATTTTATTTAAATAATTTTTATTTCGTTCCAATATTTTTTGTTTGCTTCAAAAAAAATTGTATTTGGTTCAGAAAGAATTTTTTTTGATTTACATAAATTCTATTTGGTTCAATTAAATTTTATTTCATTCAAAGAATTTTATTTAGTTCAAAAAAATTTTATTTGCTTCAAAAAATATTATTTGGTTCAAATACTTTTTATTTGATTAAAAAAATTTTATTTGGTTCAAAAGAATTTTTCTTCGAATTTTATTTGGTTCCAAAAGAAACTTGTTTGGTTCAAATCCTTTTTATTTGGCTGAAAAAAATTGTATTTGGTTCAAAAGAATTTTTATTAGAATTTTATTTGGTTCCACTAAAATCTACTCCTGGAGAAAAATTCTATGCAATCCAAATATAATTTATTCTCAAATAAATAGTAATTAATTACTTCCATTTTTTGAATTGCAAAAAGACTTTTATTTGGTGAGCCAAATAAAAGTCTTTTTTGCAATTCAACAAATGAAAGTAATTAATTACTATGCGTCAGATAATGTTATTATGATAATATTAATATTATTATTATTAATATTTAGACGGAATTATTTTGCCACATTACGAATATTGAAAAAATATTAAAATATTGAAAAAAATACTCCAACAATGTTGTCAATAATTCGTAAATAGCAAACCAAAAAAATTCGATAATGTTAATAAAGGACAACGTTAAAAATACAATTCAACAATAAAAATTGCCCTCAGTTTAAAATTCGCCACAAACAAAATTCTTTGCATCGACATCAATAAATGTGTTCCGCTTTAGAGAAAAAAAAGGAAAAAAAAGTGTGTGGCATATTCAACCATTTCTGGACAGTTCGAAGAGCAGACTTGCGTAGAAACTGTCGGAGCAGCCTGGATATGTCTGCCTCACTGTCGAGTCCTATCCCACTATAATACCCTTTGCTTTGCCGGCTGTTACATTAGTCTTTCATGTTCATTGCCGCATTGCGTACATGCTTAAATTTTACTCCCATTCAAGTGCTCCGCATTTCTATCAACAGTTATTGTTGTGATCTAAGAGAACTCTTATTCAATTTTTCCCTTCTTATTTCCTTATTTGCAAAAAAAAAAAAAAAATTTGCATTCCTCTACTTATTCAAAAACAAAACACTCTCAACACTTCTATATCGATTTAATTCAAGAAATGGAAATATTTCGCGAATTTCCAATTGTTTTTAATTTGTACAAAAAATACAGTTAAAAAAATATAAAGAATAATTGTGAAAGGATTTTCAATTTTTTTTACTACGTAGTGGTCAATAATAATCTTCTAAACAAGTGAATAATTTCGAATTGTACTACACCAACACCCGATTGTAAAGGTGAGTCAAGTGCATAATTTTCCTACTCTATTATATACAATTGTCGGTGTTGAGAAAAATATTATGAAGGGACAAACTTTCCATTAATCAATTATTTTACTCTTTTGTATATTCATATAATATGTATGTATCGTGAAAAGCATTATGTTAGTCACCGAGTTATTTTTATGTTTATACAAATTCTCAAATAGTTTAATAAAATTTTTGACAAAATAAAAAAGTATAAAACAAAAATTACTTTTAAGTAATTTCAAAAAAATAAATAATTCGGCGAATAACATAATTCTAAATATTCTTTAAATATTAAATATATTAAATATTAATATATGTATAATAATAATAAATTAATAAATAATAATAATATTTGAATTTTCCCAGAATTTTTCACGAAATAATAATATTAATAATAATAATAAATAAAATAAATAATTAAAAATAATAATAATAAATAATATTGAATTAATATAATAAATAGTAATTAATTATTAATTAATTAATAATCTTTAACGTCCTTTGATATTAAATTATTGAAAATAAAAACGACCACAAAAAGAAGTTTTCATTTTCAATATTAATTAATTAATTTAATAATTTAATTAATATATATTAATATTTAATATATTTAATTCGTATTTTCGATTTATGTCAAGACAGTAAAGTTTTGCAGCAAAATGACGAAAAAGTTTTGAACGCAAAATTATAGTAAAAAAAATCTAACTTGTAGAAGAAATAAATAAATTTCGTTCATTTGAACTTTCAAAACTTTATTCGTGCAATAATTATGCAACAAATTAAATTTTTTTCAAATTAATAGATATTTTCGAGACAAGCATTAAACATTTATAAATAGAAATAAAAATACTCACTCAATTTTTACGAATACATTTTTCTCAGTGTGGCCACTCATAAATTTTTCCCCTTCTGAATAATTCGTATTTTTGAGAACTTTGAGTAGAAATTAAAATCTCCTTTTTTTGTCCCTTGGTCTGTGTCAAACCTGAAAACAATTTTTGTTTTTAATTTTCCAACTCTTAATAATTTTTTCTTTTTTTTTAAGCAAAAGTAATTATTAAAAAGCTCTATTATATACAATTTTCTGCACGAATAGAAGAATGATTATAGAATGAAAAAAAAACCATATATCGATGGCAATTTTAAAAGTTTAAAGTCAAATAAATACTATAATTAAATAAGATATTTTTTTCACATATTCTCGTTTTAAAAATAAAATTGAACGTTTTGAAAAGAAAGAATGCGCAATTATTATTTTACCGGCAAACGGGTGAACTAAAAAAGAAGAAGGTTGTCTTGTCCTATCAAGAGGAACAGACTTTCGCACGAGGTCACAGAATGATCGAATTCAACTCTCCATATTAGTCATACAACAAATTCAAGTCTAGTACGAGGATAAAATATAAAACAATTTTCTCAAGAAACAACAATTGTATTAAAAAAAGAAAAAGAAAGAAAGAAAAAAACAATTGTAAAGAATTGTGCGACAAGTTTTTGTTTATCCCTATTTGGAATGTGGATTACCCGGCATTGGAGGTCGCCTCTTTTTATTTCTTTTAAAGCCGTTCTGATATGTTATTAACTTTTTTTTCGAAAAAAATCTCTATTTTTCTTCTTATTTACTTTTTACTTTACATATTTGTTATTTGTTATTTTTCACAATGAAAATTGTAATAATTTTTTACGTAATTTAACTTAAAATTATCTAATTTTAAATTATTTTTCACACTCAAAATTGTAATAGTTTTTTACGTAATTTAATTTAAAATTATCTAATTTCAAGTTAAATTGCATAAAATTATTTAATATTAAGTTAAATTACGTAAAAAAATTAGTATTTTTAGTGAAAGTAAATTCTCTTAATTCCATCACGTGCTTTTTTTAAAAACAAAATCTAATCACTGCAAAAATTAACTACAATTAAAGTAAACAAAGCAAAACTTCATTTTACAGAATAATTGATAAATGCCGTGAAGAAATTAAAAGCATCGTTAATAAGATATTGAAATTACTTTCAACATGATAAAAAATATATATTCATGTTTCAATCAGTTATATTGTTTAGCAATTGTTTCAAGTGTATTGTATCTTAATGTTTACTTTTTTCTTTCTTTTTTGAGATTTTGGTTTTATTGTATACAAAATTCATCTATCGCAATAATAAAAGAATTTTTTTGAATGATGCAATTTTCTTTAAACTTGGTACAAAATTCTTTTCTGTCCACAATATTAATTTGCACCAAAAATATTTATTTGATTGTAATAAACGATTATTTGTCAATAAACAATTTATTTTCTATACAATAAAGTCTATCAAATAAAAATTTTAATTTTAAAAATTTACTTCAACTCAATTATTTTTACTTAAATCAACCAAATGGTATTTGCTTCAAATACTGAACATATTGATTTGAATACTTATTTCAAATACAATTTGGTTCAAATAAAAATTATTTAATTCAAGTAAATATTTATTTGATAACAGTCAAGTAATCGGTTATTTGAAACAAATAGTATTTTTGGTCTACAATAGAAAATAAAAAAAAGATATAAATTTTGAAAAACTTACCATTTTTCTTATCGACACTCCTGTGGTAGTCTATTTATCAAATTTTCCTTTAAAAATACTGGAACTTCATTTTTGGCTCTTAATTTTTATTATCAACTCCGTGTTTGACCTGGAAAAATAAAGATAAAATTAGAAACCCAAAAATTAAATTTGTCGTTTTTGTTTCCTACTTTTTTTTAGGGATTTTTTAAAAATATTTTTTGAATATTTTCAATATTTTGAATATTTCTAATTTTTAAATTAATGAAATTCTAATTGAATGCTTTTGAAGATTAAAAAATACCAAAAATTAATTAAACCAAACTGTTTTCAATTAAAAATACTACTTCTTTTATAATTTTGAATCTGAAATAATTAAATTCTTATAAAGAAATTTATCCAAATTTTTCAAAATAACTAAATTTCTTGCGAAAAATTAAATTAAAATCTGTAAAAATAAGGCAATTCTTACCAGAAATTTAATTAAAATAATATTAAAAATATTTAAATTCCTATAAAGAGTTTTATCAAAATTTTCGAAAATAATTGAATTTCATCGAAGGATATTATAATTAACATTTTTCAAATAATTCAATTCTTTCGAGATGTGTTATTAATTATAAAAATAATTATTCAAGTTTTTAAAAATAATTGACTTTTTTTAGGATTAAATTAAAAATTTAACACCAAAAACTAGAAAGAAAACTTCAGAATTTCCAATTTTTAGAAAATTTATAACTAGAATCAGAAGAATAAGAAAGTTCAATGATACTTCAAAAGGTGAATCAGAAAAAATCCTAAGAATTTTAATTCTAACTGCTATAGTTGATAAAACATTTTTTCAAGATTTTTCTTCTTTTTTTACTCCAATTATCAGAAAACATTCTAAGCTTTCGACAAATATCTTTATAACCCTAGTTAAAAAATATCGAAATTCCTCAATGAATATAGAAAAAGTTGATTTAGAAAAATTTCTCTCAAAGATTAGTGTCGTGCATACAATAATTATTGGTTTTGCAAATAAAAATTGAACAAACGAATTAATCTTAGGTCATGTAAGCTATCAGGTTGTGACGATTTTTGAAACAGTTTCCTTTGGGTCGAAGGTCTTGATTGAATTGAACCTCACCGATCTTTGTGCACAAGTCCAAAGTGAATGCTGCAATGCAGCTTTGATATAAAAGTTCTTTGAAATAAAGATAGTCTTCTTCTTCTTTTTTTTTTTTTTGCACTCGAGAAAAATGTATTCCATTCCATTTTGCAACCTTCTAGTTATACTCAATAGTGATTATATTTTAATGAATAGTCATTTTTAGAATTGATTTATCTGCCTTTGAAAACGAGGAGGAAGGGGATTTCTTGATAACCAAGCGAGAGGAGACGTTTTCTCGTCTTTAAAAAAAAAAATCTGCAACCATCAAATCAACCAAGATGAGTCGAGTTAAAGTCATGGAGCAGGAAACTGTCCTCAAGAAGCGCCAAACTTTCGTCAGGCGTGTTTCTGATCTATTCAAAGGTGAGTGCTACAAAATTACTTTTATTATTCAAAATTTTTCGGAATTATAATAAGTCCTAATTTTTTAATTATTTTTAATTTTTAAATTATTTTTTAAAATTATTTTTATTATCTGTACTTTTTGAATTTATAACAAATATTCAATATAAATAAAATTATAAATTTATAATTGAAATTTAATATTTTATTTGCTACTCAAAATCAGGCAAAAAAGAACTTGATGTATTTTCAAAAAATTATTACCATTAATTTAAACAAAAACGATTCAAAATGTCAAAAATTTAAATTACTACGTAAATATACTTTCCGGATTAAAATAACATTTAGCTACATAATATAATTTTTAGTTACAATCGTGAGAGAAATTTATATTTAAATTGAAATTTAAGTATCTATTAATGACATTACCAAACTTTGTGTTTAATAATCTCAAATAATAATAAAGTGAAATTCTTCAATAGTTCAGTGGGATATTTTTCCATTATATTATTAATAAACATAAAAAAATAATAAATAAGAATTTTATCAAGAAAATTGAGAATAATTGAAGTCCATCGAAGAATTTTATTATTTATGAAAATAATCAAATTGACAAGATTTTTAATTTTTGAAAATCCTAATTATATTCTTTTGAAGAAATTCTTCGAATTTTTTTTTAAATAATGAAGTTTTTAAAATAATTTAAATTGAAAATTTTGAAAGTAATATTATTAAATTTTATGAAAAATTTCTCTAAAGTTTTCAAATTAATCGTGTTTCTTAAAAATTGAAAGTGAACATTTTATTATTGAATTTTATTGAAATTTTTAGAATATTTTTGGGTTCTTCAAAAACACTTTACTTATTTAATAGTCTCACCCTTTGGTAAAAAATCTAAAATTATCTAAAATTATCAAAAATTCAAAAAACCGAATTTCTTAAAATTCAACATTTTTTCTTCTTTTTTATGGCATTTAGCTTCACTATTTTTGTGCTCTTGAAAAATACTTTACTTATTTTAATTTCTCCAACCTTTGGTAAAAAATCTAAAAGTATCGAAAATTATCAAAAATTCAAAAAACCGAATTTCTTAAAATTCAACATTTTTTCTTCTTTTTTATGGCATTTAGCTTCACTATTTTTGTGCTCTTGAAAAATACTTTACTTATTTTAATTTCTCCAACCTTTGGTAAAAAATCTAAAATTATCGAAAATTCAAAAAACCGAATTTCTTAAAATTCAACATTTTTTCTTCTTTTGTATGGCATTTAGCTTCATTATTTTTGTGCTCTTCAAAAATACTTTACTTATTTTAATTTCTCCAACCTTTGGTAAAAAATCTAAAATTATCGAAAATTATCAAAAATTCAAAAAACCGAATTTCTTAAAATTCAACATTTTTTCTTCTTTTTTATGGCATTTAGCTTCACTATTTTTGTGCTCTTGAAAAATACTTTATTTATTTTAATTTCTCCAACCTTTGGTAAAAAATCTAAAATTATCGAAAATTATCAAAAATTCAAAAAACCGAATTTCTTAAAATTCAACATTTTTTCTTCTTTTTTATGGCATTTAGCTTCATTATTTTTGTGCTCTTGAAAAATACTTTACTTATTTTAATTTCTCCAACCTTTGGTAAAAAATCTAAAATTATCGAAAATTATCAAAAATTCAAAAAACCGAATTTCTTAAAATTCAACATTTTTTCTTCTTTTTTATGGCATTTAGCTTCACTATTTTTGTGCTCTTGAAAAATACTTTACTTATTTTAATTTCTCCAACCTTTGGTAAAAAATCTAAAAGTATCGAAAATTATCAAAAATTCAAAAAACCGAATTTCTTAAAATTCAACATTTTTTCTTCTTTTTTATGGCATTTAGCTTCACTATTTTTGTGCTCTTGAAAAATACTTTACTTATTTTAATTTCTCCAACCTTTGGTAAAAAATCTAAAAGTATCGAAAATTATTAAAAATTCAAAAAACCGAATTTCTTAAAATTCAACATTTTTTCTTCTTTTTTATGGCATTTAGCTTCACTATTTTTGTGCTCTTGAAAAATACTTTACTTATTTTAATTTCTCCAACCTTTGGTAAAAAATCTAAAAGTATCGAAAATTATCAAAAATTCAAAAAACCGAATTTCTTAAAATTCAACATTTTTTCTTCTTTTTTATGGCATTTAGCTTCACTATTTTTGTGCTCTTGAAAAATACTTTACTTATTTTAATTTCTCCAACCTTTGGTAAAAAATCTAAAAGTATCGAAAATTATCAAAAATTCAAAAATCCAAATTTCTTAAAATTCAACATTTTTTCCTCTCTTTTATGGGATTTAGCTTCATTATTTTTGTGCTTTGGGAAAATACTTTACTTATTAAATTGTCTCGACTCTTTGGTAAAAAATCTAAAATTATCGAAAATTATCAAAAATCATCAAAAATCCGAATTTCTTAAAATTCAACATTTTTTCTTCTTTTTTATGGCATTTAGCTTCACTATTTTTGTGCTCTTGAAAAATACTTTACTTATTTTAATTTCTCCAACCTTTGGTAAAAAATCTAAAATTAATTGAATTGTTTCGAAGGATTTATTTAAATTTTAGAAAAAAATTGAATTCTTTCGGGAAATTGTATTAAAAATAATTTAATTTTTCCAAAGAATTTTACTATTTATAAAAATAATTGAATAGTTTCAAAGGATTTATTAAAATTCTAGAAAATAAATGATTTCTTTTGACATATTTTATAACAAATTAAGAAAAAAATTGAATTCTTTCGTGAAATTATATTGAAAACAATTGAATTTTTGCAAAGAATTGTGCCATTTACAAAAATAATTGAATTGTTTCGAAAGATTTATTAAATTTCTAGAAAATAATTGAATTCTTATTAACCATGTTATTAAAATTTTTTAAAATAATTGAATTCTTTCGTACAATTTTACTATTTCAAAAATAATTCAATTTTTACGAAAGATTTATAATTATTTTAGGAAATAATTGAATTCTTCCGAAGAATGTTATTATTTACGAAAATAATTGAATTCTTGCGAAAAATTTTACTATTTAAAAAAATAATTGAATCGTTTCGAAAGATTGATAAAAATTTTAGAAAATAATTGAATGTTATTATTTATAAAAATAATTGCATTTTGAATTATTCAAAAATTTATATTTGGAAATAATAACTTTTGTAATTTGCATAATAATAATATTTAATATTTATTTAAAATTTCACGGTAGAAAAATAAAAATCTATTAAATAAATCAATAAAAATATTCAATTTCAAATCCCATTGAACTAAAAGAAATAAGAGAAATTATAAAAATATATCAAACTCACGGTAAAAATTGCCAATTGTAATTGTTGTTGAAGTCAAGTACTTCACTTTTTATTCGAAATTAATTTTTCCACTTAGAAATATTGGTTCTGAAAGTACAACGAATTCATCTCAAAGAACACACTCGAAATTCAGTCCTTCTGAAAAATATAATCAAACAAAATGTCATTAGCATGTTAGAAAGAAACAAAAGATAAATAAAAATTAGCAAAAAATGAAACATACTAATTTCAAAGGTTAATTTTATTTATTAAGAAACGAACTAAGAGAAAGAAAAGTGAAAAACCAAAATTAAAAGTTAAAACCAAATTAAAGTAGAAAATAAATAGAAAATAAATGGAAAATAAATTAAAATAGAAAATAAATGGAAAATAAATTAAAATAGAAAATAAATGGAAAATAAATTAAAATAGAAAATAAATAGAAAACAGATTAAAAATACAAATTAAATTCATCAATCATATTTAATTAACATATTTCTATTTTTTCCAGATGGAACATACAGCGGACCACCGTCACTATTCCGTCACTCATCAATGCAGAAACTCCGTCACTGCTGTCAAAATTTAAATCTCTTCCCATATTTACTCTACTCATTTGAGAATTCAAAATCCCATCCAGTCGCAAAAAAAGTAAACAGTCATCTTGAACAATACTTGAAAAGAATAGTGGAAAATTTATTTTTCATTTACACGAGTATTCGCTATCTTGTACTGAGGGAAATACGTTCGGAAACAAAAACAAAAATTCCAACGGAGAAGAAAATTGACAATTTACGAAAATCAAGAATATTTCGTTCCATTAAACAAAAACCAAAGGAGATTTCCTATCTTCTTCTAACAGCAATTTACTTAGTACCATTTATTTTAGTTTTACAATTAATCGCTATTGGTAATTTATTGATAGTCGAAAAGTTCACGCCAGGTTTTATATTCTTAGTCACCGCATTATTTTGTCTCGGCTATATTTCCCTGAAAGTTATGTTCTGTGACAAGACAGCGAGGAAAACATTCAAAAACGAAAAAAGGAAAAAGGAATAATTATTGTTAGCAAATTTTTTTTTTTATTAAAAAATACACTTGTCACAATTCTTTTTTCGTTCTTCTCTGTCCAAAATTCGAAGGAAAAACTCCATAATACGTGGTTCTATAGCTGTGATAGATTTATTTTTTGTAAAGTAGATTTTAAGCTTCCTAACTTGATTTATTTATTTTTGTCCTCCTTAATTTGCCAAAAAAAATTCTTTTGTATGAAAATTAATTTTTTTTAATTTAAATCCAATTTTTTAAAGTTTACAAAAATTTAAGTAAATTTCATTTATATAAAATTTTATAATAAAATTGTAATTGTTAAGTCTGTCAAATTCATCGGCTTCCGAAAAACAAAATTAAACACCATAATTATGATAATAAAAGCATAATAATTATTCTACGAGAAATCTCTTCCATTTTCGCACTTTTCGGAATTGTGACTGATAAATATCGAAGGATAAAAATGAATAAAAACTGTATCCTCTCGGCATCGTAAGACTGAAAATTTTTTTTTTTTTAAGAAAAAACTTGTATGTAAATAATTAAGTGTGAAAAAAAACTTATGGAGTGTCATTTATATGTTAAAATTCACTGATTCGTTTATCAATATTTATACTTTCTTTTCTACTTTATATTTTATATAAAAAATAATTGTTTAAAAAATTGTATACAATTAAAGACAATTATTACAAGGAACTGAAAAATTTGTTCCTACATATTCTCAGCGCTGATCAAAAATTTCTATATTATTCTGTACAAATATTTAATAATCTGTTGAATTTTCTAAGAATAATTTATATATAGAAAATAATTTTAAGGCTGATTATCATAGTTGATAATAAAAATAAATTATTGTCCAATTCAATGTTTCGAATGGAATTATTTTTTGTACCAGGACCTTTATTTGCGTAAGGTCCAATTTTTGCTGCGTATCCAATTACATGAGCGACAAAATTTTGCTCGTGTGTCGAGTGAAAAAGATGTGCGTGAGGTCCTAAAAAATAAAAAAAAAAGCTTATTTTATTTTCAAAATAAAAAATTTTGCAAAAGTTCCCTAAAAAATTTGTCGTCAACATTTTTTATTGAGTTTAACCCCGAAAATTTAAATCAGAAATAAAATTGTTCATTTAAAAAAGAAAAAGCAATTTGCTCTCTTTTTCATATTTAAAAAACTAAAAACATTCACTAATTTTCCTAATTTTTGTTTAAAAAAAATTATTTTGTCTTAAAATGTAAAGGAGATTCCTAGTGACATGATTTAATTGAATAAGAAATAAATTCAAAACGAAATAAACTAGAAGATAGACGATAAAGAATAAAATATATACAATTTTCGAAGATTAAATAATTTATGATTATTATAAAAAAAATAGTGTAAATTGCACCTTTTGCATAGACTGCAACATCAGCACCTCCATGATAAGCTTCATCAGTAATTATCGCCGCTTGCTGACTGTAATTATAATCGGTCGTATCATTAAGCGATGGATCAATTCGAGAAATTTTTCCATTTTCGATAGTGTATCCCATATTATTAATACCGCCAGTGCTATATGTTAAGGTAGTATAATTTTTGTTGTCATATTTCGATTTTTGCGCTATGCCTGTTAATGGAAATTTTCAATAGATTGTAAATAATAAAAATCAAAACAAAAAAGAACACAATTTTATCTTTTTAACAAATATTAAAAAAAATTAAACTAATTAATTAAATTTATAAATTAAAAATTAATATAAAAATTAATTAATTTATAAATTAATTTAAAAATTATTTAATAAATTAATTTTTTTCGATTTTTGGAAGACGTCTGTGTTTGACTTTTGTGTTTTTCTTTTACCTTTTATACATCTTCCAAAAATCGAAAAAAATTAATTTATTAAATAATTGTGAAAGAATTTACAAAATATTGAATTTCAAAATTAAAATTTAATTAATTAAATTATTAATTCTTTTATTAGGAGATTATTCTAATAAAAGAATATAAATGATCCTGTGAATGTTGAAAATATTTTTCAGATAATTTGAATAATCATATACCAAGAATAGATGATCCCCGATCACCATATCCATTGAATGACAAAGAATGTGTATGATCACTGGTAACAATCACCAAAGTTTCGCTAATATCGATTAATTTTAAAGTTGCTTCAATGGCTTCTGAGAGACGAACAGTTTCTAATAAAGCCTGAGCTGCGTGTCCTCTGTGATGGGCAAAATCAATGAGACCTCCTTCCACCTAAACGAAAAAAAAACAATAGACAAATACTTTCCTAAAAATAAGATACTTCAATAAAATTAAAAAAAATAAGACGAAAACTAAACAAGAATAATACGAAAATTAAATAAAAGTAATTAAGAAAAATAAAACAAAAGAAAGAGAAAAAAAGTAAGAGAAAAATAAAACTAATAAAAAATAATAAAAAAATATTTTATAGTTAATGAAAAATTTAATTTATAGTTTGAAGTAAAATAATTTTTTTATTTGACTCGAACCAGTTATATTTTTGTCAGCAATTGGTCCGTAAATAGTCCGTAAAGTTCGTAATTAACTATTTTTAAATACTTTCACTGGTTCGAGCCCTGAAACTTCTAAAAATTGTATACCACGAGAAGAAATCCATCGTCTCCGTTCTCCAAAACTTTTATCGCAGCCGTTGTCATTTCCTCCAAACTTGGCTGTCCCTTTGGGCCCTTATCACGCTGCCAGTCCATAGAAATATGACCATTTGCAAAAATTCCCATCAAAAATTCCGTCTCCTTATAATTAACCTCCGAGAGTTGTTCATTATTTTCAACAAATTTGAAAGCGACATTTCTGGCCTTTTTATCTTCCTTCCATTTTTCAATCAGATCACGTCCATCTTTACTGTAGCATGCCCATTTATCTATCGGATCGTTAATTGTTCCATTCACAAAGGATCGTAACATTTGCCTTCCTCCACCCATAATCACCTATTGTGGAGTAATCATTATTATTTTTCTAATGAGTCCGCAACGTTTTTAAATTTTAAAAACGAAAAATAATGAGAAAAAATCAAAATTAGGATTTTATATTTAAAAACTAAACTTTTAAAAGTAATAAAATTAAATTTATCAGACCTTTATATTTTTGCCAGGTTCATTTTCAATCAATTGTCTTGCAATGTCCTGACATTTTTCCGCACCTGGAGGTTTCGTTGCTTCACATTCCCATTTTCTATGCGGACAATGTGCATATAAAGGAGCTGGTGTTGCGTGAGTTACTCGAGTAGTGGTAACAAAACCTACAAAATTAAAGAAATGATTTTATCACCTTAAAAGTAGTATTAAAACGAAATTTCAATTATCAAAAAAACAATATCTTCTCTCTTAGAGATTGAAATTTGATAATCGGAATTTAAATACTCAATTAGTGACCGTATACTTTGTTGTAAATTTTCTACAAATTTGTCAATTGACTGCCAATTTTATGGCTAATTACAAATTCAGCTAAATAATCCAGATGGGATTTTACCATTGTCTTTATGTAGTAATTAAGAATTAATTACTGACAATTACTAATTAAGAGACATTTACTGACATAATTTGAAGGGAAAAATTACGACTTCAGGTATTTGTCAATTTTCTAATGCCTTGAATGCTTCTCATTAAAATTCAAATTTATAAAATATGGAACGAAAAAAACCTGTTATATTATAAATGTTTAACATTTTTTTTCACACTGAAAAAAAAATTATTTGAATCAAAAAATCGATTACTTGTCGATTATATCAAATAAATATTCACTTGAATAAAATAATTTTAATTCAAATCAATTTGCCTTTGAAATAAATTGTCTTTGAACCAATAATTTCAGTATTTGAAAAAATACCATTTAATTAACATTAACTAAAAATTATTTGATTTTAAATTGTATTTTAACCAATAATTACAGTATTTGAATCAAATACCAAATAACATTAATTAAAAATTAACATTAATTAAAATTTAACATTAATTAAAAATTATTCGATTTAAATTTGATAAAAAATTATTCGATTTAAAATTTATTTGATAAAAAATGATTCGATTCAAAATTTATTTGAAAAAAAATTGTTCGATTTAAAATTTATTTGATAAAAATTATTTGATTCAAAAATTATTTGAAAATAGAAAAGTAATAATTTATTCGAAAAAAATAAATAAATAAATATTTTTTTTCAGTGTAAGAAATAATTTAATTTCTAATCAAAGAATATTTAAATTTCTCACCAGTTCGTTTACCGACCGCTTGAGCCCAAGTGATAATCGACTCGAGATGGAATTCCTTATTCAAACTTGCTTCACAATCGGCAAGTGGTACATTAACATCAACGCCAATAACTTTAAAGTTCGTCTTCACTCCACTGAAAAGTGCTGTCGCTGTTGATGCAGAATCAGGCACTTGTTTATTTGTATTATACGTCTGTTTCAAAAATTAAATAAAAATTAATTCCCAACATTCTACAAGATCGAAAAATTCAGGAACTAATATAAATTATTGAATATAAAGTAAAAAGAAAACAAATATAAAAATTGTAACTTTTTTGTAATTAAACTAAAATAATTAAAAATTTTTTACCTTGAGCAGACCAACATGGGGGAATTTTTCCCATGAGAGATAACCCGTTTCGCCATTCTTATAAATTCTGCTGGCTGTTATTGTATTTCCACTCATTCCATCTCCAATAAATATTATCACATTTTTCGCATTATTTGTATTCCATTTGTAAGCCAATGAATCTTTAAGTTCTTCTTCAGCTACTCGATGCCAATGTTTACTATCTACAGAAAAAAATTGTAGCAAATTAAAACAACTTATACAAAAAAAAAAAAAAAATTCAAATTATGTCCAATTATTCCATTCATATTATTATATAATTAATTATATTTTCTTGCATTCAAAAATTGGAGTTATTTTTAAATTATTCACTACATAATTATATTCTTTTATCAAAAACTTGATAACAAAATAAAACTAACAAAATAAATTTTATACAAAAAATGTGTGAAAAGAGAATATTTTTATCAATTTAATAATTGCTTACCTTCTTTGGCATTGATGGAAAAAATAGAAAGAAGAAGAATAATAATTTTTGTACACAAATAATTTTTTTCACTCATAATTTTTGTTCTGTTCATGTTTCCTAGTCACGTGACGAACGTTAACTAATCCACAAAGACTCATTAAACAGTACAGTATTAATCGAGGGAGATTCAGTTAAGTTTTCTTTTTAAATTTTAAATACACGTCAATTAACTCGATTTTTATTTCCTCGCTAAAGTGGAGAAAAATATTTTTAAAAAATAAAGAAAAAGCGCGACCGTCACGATTGTCGATTACATTCTAAAAACAATTTTCCTTCCTTTTCCTAAACAAATTCCTTCCTCGGGTAGGAAGACCCAAAAGATAAGAAACAAACCTGTTTGTTTGCTTTTTATCTGCAGTGCCTTTAGCTCAAAATTTTATTCCACTCTCATAAAAAATATTACATTTTCTTTAAAATCAAATTTCGAATTATTTCATTATTTCAAATTAATTAAATTATCTAATTAACCAAAGTTCTTTTCGAAATAAAATTAACCAATTTCTAAAGAAAATCTGTATTGTCTCAATTTTCCAAGAATACAGAAAGTGCATTAAAAAATCACAGTAATCCTAAAAAGTATATTTGGAAAAACAAGTAACTGTTACAATTTAACAAACGTTGAAAGTGTGTAAGCTATTAGAATTTTAATCGAATGCTATAAAAAAATTATTTAGTCAAATTCTACCAATTTGCACATTTTTAACTTTAAAGAAAAAAATTCTTTTTTAAAAAGAATTTAGATTCATGACCAGTCTAATTTTTCTTTTTCCTTAAAGAAGTGTAGATTTCTCTCGCCTAAAAACTACCAATTGAAAAGTTTAACAAGCCTTCTTAAAACGAGCATTAATATCGGCCCAGTTTGCAATATCGAAAATGGCCTTTACATAATCGGGTCGAATATTTTTATACTGCAAATAATAGGCGTGCTCCCAAACATCAATTCCAAACAATGGAATAAGATTAGTTGTCGCTTGAAGTGGATCCTGATTGGCGCAAGTTGCAATCTGAAGTCTTTTTTCCTTTTGATTATAACCCAACCATCCCCAGCCAGAGCCTTGAATTCCCACAGTCGCTTCAGATAAGCGTTTCTTCATTTCATCAAAACTGCTGAAGTCTTTCTCAATTTGTTGACAAAGAGCGGCTATAAAAAGTATGCTCATTAATTCAAAATTATTTGCCTATTTTCTCGTTTCTATCGCGAAAATACCCTTTTAACCTTCTGGATATAATATTCGCAGTAATATTATAAAAAAAAAAAAAGAAAAAAAAGCAAAAACCAGCGCAAAATTTAAATCTTAAAAAAATTAAATTTACATTTTTATCTCTTTTAAAGAAAGAGATACAATTTTTAAAAGAGACTGTGCATTTAATTAATTAAATTCACAGTTTGCATACTTTCAATTGAAATAATCATAAAATCATATTCTTTATTTAATATCTTATCATTTTCATTAATATCAAAATGTTAATAATATTATAAACTTTTCTCTTTGAAATGTTATGAAATATAAATATTCACAGGCCTCAGATCGACTTTAAGGTGCAAAAAAATTTATTTGGTCGCTTGAAAATATAAAAAAAAGTCAAAATAGAGTCGTTCAACTAATTTAGCGTTGTCACAAAAATTTTATTTTGTACTTCTCTGATTTCTAAATTCAATTATTCAAAAATTGAATAAATTTGTTCAATAAATATTTAAATGCTTCTCATTCGTTTTTCCACGGGAAATACAACAAAAAAAATGTTAACATAAAAACTTCTGCAATTTATTAATTTCTAAAAATTATAACAATAACTCTTCCAAAATTCAATTATTTTGTACAATTTTTAACTAAACTTCATTTCCAAATCAATTATTTTTCAAAAGTTTTTAGAGAATTCAATTATTTACATAACAAATTTAATTTTTTACAACTGTAACTTTAACTGATCATGGTTCTTTTTTAAAAACTGAAAATATTGAAAGTAATTGATTTTTAAAGAATTATAAAAAAGAAATTCTTAAAAGTAATTTAAAAAAAAATATTTTTAAATAAGTTTTAAAAGATAGAATTTTTAATTATATTTAATAAAAAAATTTACATAAAATTACAAATAATTGAAATTTAGTTTTATAAAATTTTAAAATAATTGAATTGTTAAAAGAATACGTGGACAATTATTAAAAAAAACTATTTTTTAAGCTAATTTTCATTAATTAACATTTTACAATTTTCCTTTGAATATTTTTCATTATAAAATTTTTATAAATAAATTATTTTCATGTAATGCAATAAATAATCTTTAATAATTTTCTAAAAGTTGATAAAAAATTGAATTATTTAATTTGAAAAAAATAACTTTTGAAAGATAATAGTTTTTTAATTATATAAAATTGAAAAATTTCCAAATAATTGAATTTTTGAAAAATATAAATAAAATAATCAAAATTTTGAAGAATTTTAATTATAAATATATCAACAGGATTTCTGCAAAATTTTCAAAAATCTAAAAAAGTAAATTTAAAAAAATTTTAATTTTCTTTGTTAGAAAGTAAATTAAATTTCAAAAAATTATGATAAAACAATTCTAAGAATTAGTTTTTTAAAAATATTCTAATGTGAATTTTCGAAAATAATTGAATTTCTTAAAAAAAATTTCTGTATAATTTAAAACAAAAATAATTTTTTGGAGAAATTTAATTCCAAAATTTGAATATAATTATTTTTTCAAAAATCTTGAAATCGATTCTAAAAAATTTTATTATTATTTTTTGTATGTTTTTTGAATTTTTCGAAAACAACTAATTCAAAATATTGAAAATAATTTAATTTTAACGAATTAGAATAAAAAATTCATAGTTTCTTTTTTACAAAAATATTTAAAATAATTTAATTTTAACAAATTAGAATAAAAAAATTCAGTTTCTATTTTACAAAAATATTGCAATATAATTTTTAGAAGCTAATTTTCATTAATTTTCATTTTTAATTTTACACTTGAAGATTTTTCATTAAAATTTTTGAGAAACCAATATTATTTTTAAAATTTGCAATTAAAATTCCTCAAAAGTTAATATTTTCAAGAATAGTAATAAAATACTTGAAAAAAAATCAATTGATTTCAATTAAATTTTACAAAAATTCAATTATTCAAAATCTGTTTAATTGTATATTTCGAAAATTTAATTAGAAAAATTATTCAAAAATAATTTTTGCAAAATTATTCAAAAATAATTTTTGCAAAATTTGTCTATACTTATTTTTTACAGTATAAAAATCGAAATAAGTTGCATTTTATAGCAAAAAAATGTGGTATTTTGTTGCAATATTTGGAGGAAAAGTTGGAAAAGTCGCAATTTTTGAAAATAAGATGAAAGAAAATAGTATTTTTTGAAAATAGTCGAAGAAATAATATCCGAGGCCTGTATTTAGGTAAAATGTAATTTTTTTTGACGTATAAATATTAAAAGAAATAAATAAAAATATAATTTGATGAAATTGCAAATAACCATACCGTCTGGTTTGCTGCTACTTGGCGACAAATTGCTCCAAAATATAGAATGATTCAAATGACCACCACCATTGAATTTAATTGCAGGAGCTAAAGCAATTTGTGCATTGACATCCCCCTTTGCGACAGCTTCCTTCAATTTTTCCTCAGCAATATTCAAATTATTTACATACGTTGCATGATGTTTCGAATGATGTAATTGCATAATTTCAGCGCATATTATCGGCTCAAGTGCCTTGTAATCATAAGGCAAATCTGGTAGAGTGTGTTTTGATTTTGCGAAAATTTCCTTGTTACGACTGTAAAACAACAAATATTAAATATTTAAATTATACAAATAAAATTCAAGTTTACAAATATTTACATTCGAAAACTAAATAAAAATCAAATACAAATATTTCAATTCTACGAAAAAGAAAGTAGCAACAAGTAATTTATGCGTATAAAATCTACAAAATTAAGAAAATTGCAAATATATTTTTGAGGTTAGGAATTATATAATATCGTCACTTACCGTATAAAATAAGATTAATAACTTGTGAAAAAGTACTTACATTACTTTCAAAACCAGAGCTCGTCTTGCAGCAAACATTTCGTACAACTTTAATTTCAAACACTTTTTATATTTATTTTTCAAAGAAAAAAACAAACTTTTTACAACCGGTTACTGGAATGAATGGGCCGGGGTGTCTCGTAAAAAAGAAACGACGGAACGGACGAATCGGAATAAATGGAAAATGGAACCCGCGCTTTTTCAATTTTCCACTTATATAATTATTATTTCTTTATTTATACTAATTGATCCTTAATATTTAATTTAGTTTTAAAATATTCTCGATTTAATACAAAATTAATTTCTCGCCGATTCAATGATATCAGAAAAGAAATTTTTTTAATTTAAGAAACTTTAAATTTAAATTTATATATTTAAAATTTTAATTAATTTAATTAATAAATTTTTTAAATTTTTAAAATTTTTCAAACTTTTTAAATTTTAATTTCAATTCATTATAACCTCACTTTTTACGAAAAAAAAGTTAAGGAAAAAAGGTTTTACTTGAAGAAATAAAATTACACTCACCTTTTTCGTAGTGAGAAGAACTGCAAAAGATCCTTGAATTGTTCTCCCTTAAGGTTCTCCCTCAAAAATTTACGACTGTTCACTAGGCCTACTGTCCTCGACTCTAAATCCTTTGCAAGGTGTTCTGAAAGAAAATACAGAATTTTATTTTTAAGAATGAAAAGAGAACATTTTCTTTTCTTTTTTTTGTAAAAAAAGAAAACTAATCTAAGGAGAAAAAATGTGAATAAAATAAAAACTTCGACTACTTTAGTGACTGCAAACGAATTTAATACAAAACTATACCTTATGAGAAAAAAAATGTAATTTCAAACCCCTTTCTTTTCTACAATAATATTTAATAATAATAAAAAGGCGCGAATTCAATTCTTTCTTTTCAAAATAGAAATTTTAAATTAGCCGCTTATTACGTTCCAAATTCAAATTTCGTCTAAATTCGTAATAACATTCGGCTTTACAGAAGAAACAAGTCTCACAATAAAAACTGTCAACAAAAGTCTACTCGTCGCTTCATCAAATTATAGTGACCTTTGCGATTAAAATATATCCGCAGACGAAAATGGATTCGTCCTGTTTACTTAAAAATGATGTTAAATATTCAGCTCAAAGAACATTTTTTCAATGGGCCGTTAAATGGTTTTATACACAAATTATCGAAGACGTAAGTAGGAATTAAAACTTATTCCATCAACAAAATTTTGTTAAATTCGCAAAATGGCTCTCAAAAGTACTATTCATTTGTATTAGAATTTTACTTTGAAATTATATCAGTAAATTTATAGAAAAGTTCTATAATTATAACAATAGTATTAACAATAAGTAGCAATAAAAATAATATAGTAATCATAATAATAAGAATAATAGTAATACTTAGTAATAAAAAAATAATAATAATAATAAAAATAGTTGTTTGCTTTCTTGTTTCCTAACTTTTTAAATAATTTTTCCTTTTGAATATTTTCAACTTTAAAATTAATATATTAAAAAACAATGAATTCTTGCAAAGAATTTTTTGAAAAAATTTGAGAAAAATTGAATTCCATCGAGGAATTTTATTATTTATGAAAATAATTGAATTCTTGCACAAAATTTTATTAAAATTTTTAAAAATCCTAATTGAATTCTTTTGATTAATTAATTAATTAATTGAATTCTTTGACATTTTTTTAAAATAATGGAGTTCTTAAAATAATTTTAAATGAAAATTTTGAAAGTAATTGAATTTTATGAACAATTTCATTCAAGTTTTTCAAATAATCGTGTTTCTTAACAATTGAAAATAAACATTTTTTTAATTATTGAATTTTCTTAAAATTTTTAGAAAATAATTAAATTCTTCTCAGAATTTGATTACAATTTTCTAAAATAATTTAATTCATTCAAGGAATTTTTTTAAAATATAGGAAAAAATTAAATTATTTCAAAGAATGGATACTATTCAAGATTTTTACAATAATTGAAAATTCTTTCAAAAAATTTCTTTAATTTATTGAATATAATCGATTTTGTTAATAATTGTCAATAATTTTACTATTAAATTTTAATAAAATTGTTGATAGAAAAATTAATTTTTTAAACAATTTTATAATTAGAGTTTTTGTAAATAATTAAATTCTTTTGAAAAATTTCTTTAAATTTAATGAAAATAATATAGTTATTTGAATAATTTTAATTGAAAATGATTGCATTAAACTACGAATTTTTTTCAACTTTCTAAATTAATCGTGTCTGTTAATAATTATAATTATAATTATAATTAAATATTTGGTTATTGAAGTTTAATAAAAATGTATGGAAAATAATTGAATTCCTGAGACTGCTTATAAAAATAATTCAATTGTTTTAAAGGATTTAATTCTTTCGTGAAATTGTTTTAAAAATAATTGAATTTTTGCCAAGATTTTACGAATTAAAAAAATAATTGAATAGTTTTAAAGGATTTATTAAAATTCTAGAAAATAATTGAATTCTTTTGACATATTTTATAACGAATTAAGAAAAAAAAATTGAATTCTTTCGTGAAATTTAATTGAAAATAATTGAATTTTTGTAAAGAATGTTACTATTTATAAAAAAAAATTGAAGTGTTTTGAAAAATTGATTTAAATTTTAGAAAATAATTGAATTTTTTTAAAAAAATGTTATAAATTTAAAAAATTGAATTCTTTTACAAAATTTTATTAAAATTGTATCAAAAATTATTGAATTATTGCAAAGAATTTTACTTTTTATAAAAATTGAATTGTTTCGAAAGATTTATTACATTACTAGAAAATAATTGAATTTCAGCAAAGAATTTTGTTATTTATGAAAATAATTGAATTCTTGCAAAGAATTTTACTATTTCAAAAAATAATTGAATTTTTTCGAAAGATTTATTAAAATTTTAGAAAATAATCAAAATTTTAAAAAAATTGTTAAAAATTAAAAAATTGAATTCTTTCACGAAATTTTATTAAAATCGTATTAAAAATAATAGAAGTTTTGCAAAGAATTTTACTATTTATTAAAATTGAATTATTTCGAAAGATTTATTAAAATTCTAGAAAGTAATTGAATTCTTTTGACAAATTTTATATAACGAATTAAGAAAAAAATTGAATTCTTTCGTGAGATTTTATGGAAAATAATTGAATTTTTGTAAAGAATTTTGCTATTTATAAAAAATAATTTAATTGTTTTGAAGAATTTATTTAAAATTGTAGAAAATAATTGAATTTCAGCAAAGAATTTTGCTATTTATGAAAATAATTGAATTTCAGCAAAGAATTTTGTTATTTATGAAAATAATTGAATTCTTGCAAAGAATTATATTAAAAATTTTGGAAATATAAACGATAATAATTTATTATGTACTTAATAAGTGAATGTTTTAAATGTTAATTATAAAATTATTCAGAAATTTATATTTGAAAATAAAAAATGAAAAATTTTGCTGGTAACATTTGCTAGTATAATAATAATAATAATAATAATAATAAAGGTGTAAAATTTTGTTGAACAATAGAGAAAAATATTTGTCCAGGGTAATAAAAACTGTGAGAGAAAGAGAGAGAGAGAGAAGAAATGAAGAAATGCGCGATAGAAAGTGAAACATTGCGGAAACTTAATTAAAATGCTATTAACTTATTTTTCAGAACATTTAACACAAGATTTAAAATACGAAATAAAAAAAATATTTTTAATTCTCAACGTAAAAATTTGTTTATCGCAGAGAAAAAGAAATGATGAATTTTCAGAATATTATTTGAGTTTCAACTTATTTTCGCAACCGCTGCAATGGTATAAAATTACAACGACTTTTTACGGTACCTGTACCAGGTACTTTACGGTTCATACCTGATCTTTCAATGGCAATTCTTAGCTTGAGTCTATTGAATTTCATGGGACTATAATCCCCAACAGATTAAAAATTATCTAGTTCCCGTATACAAATGAATATAATATCCAAACTGCAAAATTTAAGTAGTTCGTCGCGACACTTCTCAGAGAGAACATCTCATCTCTCGTAGTTCTCCAACAAGAAATGTAAATAAATAACAGTTAAAAACAACCAAAAAAGCACATCCAATGATAAACATAATATTAAACAAAAATTTAAAAATGTTATTAGAAATCTTTCGTTTTGCAACAAAATATTTTTTACGAAATTTCTACTATTTATTATACAATGTTAAAAAAAGTCCCCAAATTATTCTCCCAGCAAGAACAATTTTTGACATTATTTCAATAACTAAAGGAGAATATTTATCAAATTTGCATTTAAATAATTGTACTTCGAAAAAGTGTACAAATCAACAATGTTTAAGAAATAATACCCCATACAAGAGTATAAAATTAATTAACGACGATAAACCAAAAAATAAACTGGTAAGTTTCAATATTTAATTTTTCTTTAATTATTAATATTAATTTGGAAAATAAATTTTCAACTCTAGACTTCATCGAAACCTGATGTTCCAAATTTGGTGATGCTTTTGCAAGCGGTTGGCTTTCATCTTCGAGAATTTGAGAAACAGGATTTAACACAAGAAGAAAATGGACCTGCAAAAGAGTCAATCAAAGTGACGATAAAATGTGGTACATCAAAAATGAGGGCTGTCTTAGAAATGGATGGAGTTGATTGTCAATGTCCAAACGAAGTTAAAGATGGTTCTTTATGGAGTATATGTGGTCACGCTCCCAACAGTAATGTAAATAATTTTTTTCCTTTTCTCTCAAAGTTTTTCTTTAAAAAAAAAAAAAAAATTAAAAAAATAAAATTAAAAAATTAATTAAAAGAAAATTAAAAGAAAAAAGTTAATCACGGAAAAAATTCTTTCTTTACAGGATAGCATTGGGAGTTCAAAATATGAAGAGACAGGAAGTAATCTTCTTCCAACAATTCCTAAAGAAGTGAACAATGTCGCTAGGGATGTTGTCTATCGACTTTTCAAAATAATGAACAATCCATCAGCAATTTCTAGTGCAAAATCAGGCAATGATCTTGATCTCGATGCAATTGGAAATGTCGACAATTCATCAGACAATCAAGAGGGTCTCAGTCGCAGTCACACTCAACCAAATTTCTCAACTATTCACAGTCATTCCATCAACAATAATAAATTTTTGCCAACTAAGGTAAGAACTTTTCTATAAAAACTTTTCTATTTAGCGAAGAAACTATAAAATGTCTTATTTTTAATTTTATTTATTTAATTAACTTATTTATTAACAACATTGTCAGGCTTCGTACTCGTTCATTAATTTTAAAAATGTATCAAAAAGTAGCTTAAAGAAAGAAAAGAAATAGTAAAAAAGTAGCTGTCGAAAAATTAAACTTGACGACACAATTTTTTTATAATTTCTTAATTACATTCAAAAATAGAATAATCTTTTAAAATAAATATTTAAATAGCTAGGTATTTATTTTATCTACAGGAATTTAAATATTTCAAATGATTTCAATGTAACGCATTTTTGAAATTTAACTATTTCTAAAAATTACAAAAGTTCTTTCAAAATTCAATCCTATTTTACTTGAAATAATAAAATTATTCAAAACTTTAATCAATTTATTTTATTCAATTCTAAAACAATTCTTATTAAAAAGTTCTATGAGAATTCAATTATTTAAACACAAAAATAAATAATTAATTGAATAATTGATTATTTCTTAAATTTCAATTCTTATAAAGAACTTTGTCAACATTTTTTAAAATAATTCAATTTTTACGAAGAATTACATTAAAATTTTTGATAATAATTAAATTCATTCAAGAAATATAATTAAAAATGAATTGAAAATAATTATTATTACACTCGAAGAAACAAATTATATTAAATTTTTTTAAATAATTGATTTTTTTCGAAGAATTTTATTCAAATTTTTTAAAACAGTTGCATTTTTCGCGCAATTTATTTAAAATTGTATAAAAAATAATTGAAATCCTGCGATGAGTTTTAATATTTATAAAAATAATTGAACCCCTTGATGCAAGAACCAGACATAGGCCATTGAAATTAAATGGGCTGCGTCTGGTTCTTGCATCAAGGCGTTCAATTGAATTCTTGCAACGATTATTGTTCGAAGGATTTATTAAAATTTTAGAAAATAATTGAATTTTTTCCAAAAATGTTAAAAATTAAAAAAAAATTGAATTTTTTCCCGAAATTTTATTAAAACTGTATTAAACATAATTAAATTTTTGCAAAGATTTTACTATTTAAAAAAATAATTGAATAGTTTTAAAGGATTCTTTAAAAGTTTAGAAAATAATTGAATTCCTTTAACAAATTTTATAACGAATTAAGTAAAATATTAAATTCTTTCACGAAATTTTATTAAAAATAATTGAATTTTTGCAAAGAATTTTACTATTTATAAAAATATTTGAATTGTTTCGAAGGATTTCTTAAAATTTTAGAAAATAAATTCTTTTGACAAATTTTACATCAAATTAAGAAAAAAATTGAATTCTTTCGTGAAATTTATTAAAAATAATTGAATTTTTGCAAAGAATTTTACAGTTTAAAAAATTGAATTGTCAGGAAAGATTTATTAAAATTCTAGAAAATAATTAAATTCTTTTTACAAATTTTATAACGAATTAAGAAAAAATTGAATTCTTTCGTGAAATTTTATTGAAAATAATTGAATTTTTGTAAAGATTTTTACTATTTATAAAAATAATTCAATTATTCCTAAAAATTTATTAAAATTTTAGAAAATAATTGAATTCCAGCAAAGAATTTTGCTATTCATGAAAATAATTAAATATCTGAGAAGAATTTTATTATTTATAAAAATAATTGAATTCTTGCAAAGAATTTTATAAAAATCTATTTAAATAATTTTTTTTGAAAAATATTTGGAAAATCAGAAAATGCTGTTTTAAATAATTGAATTCCTGTGAAAATTATTTTGTTTCTGAAAATAATTGAATGTTTGAGAAAAAATTTTAATTTTAATTTTTTTTAAAACTTATTCAATTTTTTGGGAAATTTTTTATTAAAATAGATATAAAAATCATTGAATTATGAAAAATCTGTGAAAATAATCGAATCGTTTTAAAGAATTTTATTAAAATTTTTTCGTAAAACTATTAAAATTTTTTTAAATAATTTTTTGATTTCAACTGTTAAAAAATTTAAAGTAGTGTAAATTCTCAAACAACGAAAAAATTAGCTTTTAGTGTAACAAATAGAAAAAAATATCCAAATAGTAGCAAATCGTAAAAAAGTAGTAAATACTAGGTTTTAGTAGATGAGTACGTGGCCTGCATTATTAATATGTAATAAATAATATTAATTAAAGTAAATAAAATATATAATATTAATTAATATATTATTTAGTTTAACCAAGAAAATATGAGTAAAAAACAAACTATTTTTTATCCCTACAGAATACGTTTAATTCAAAATTAAACGAAAGTGTCACAAAATTCACGGAGGACAATGAAAATGATTTGAATATAAGAAGAAAGTCTCTGCAAAGACAAAAAACTTGGGACATGGAGTTGGAAGCGACATCTCCAAAAATTACAAGTTCACCTACTTCCGTAGACCACATGTGCAACTCTCTAGGACATATTTCTCTGAAAAGTGAAGACGATTCCGGAGGATTCATCGATTACGTTCTAAAAGCCTACGATCATTTAGACAAGGCCGTTAATTTTCTAACCAAAAAAGCACCCATCACTTCTTCAACTCTATCACTGAATGGTAACTTTTTTTCTCATACTTTACACTTTAAAAAAATATTATATTAACAATAATAATCATTATTTTATCAATTATCTTCAAATTCTCTCTCACTTTTTCCTGATTTCCATCAATAATATTTACTTTCTTTTCTTATCCTGGTAACAACTTCAATTCTCAGCTTTTCTAAAGTTTAATTATTTTCTAAATTTTTAAAAGTAATTATCGCGTGCAAAGCCTGTAATAAAAATAATTAAGAAAATAATCAACGTACTTGTTTAATTGTTTCCAGATCACAGCTTCGTGAAACCAACACCACCTCCAGCAAAGAGCATTGCAAATTCCTCCATAAGTTCAAAGGGCAGTTCACGTCTTGGATCAGTTTCCTCGGTGCCAAGTCGTCGAAGAACAATTGCATTAACGACATCGCCATTTACACGAAAATTAACAGAGAAGTCGGCACTGCCAAAAATTGAAGTCTCCAAAACTCCAACAAGACTCAGTAGTCCCCTAGTGTCTTCAATACCGAAAAAAGCGATTCCCTCCAGATTATCGACTCCAAGATGTCGATCGTCATCCATTTCTGCAATGAATTCATCATCACCCATAAGTGACAAAAATACTTTAACAAAAACATTTACTCCACCGTTGGCAAAAAAAGTCAATACCTTCGGTCTCAAAAGATCAAGTCTAGCAGCCAATACATCCCTTCAGTCGAATTCTTCACTTAAATCCAACACCTCGTTACTCTCAAACACTTCATTGAGATCAAATACTTTAGCCAAGTCAACGTTAATTAAGACACCAACCACTGTCTCAAAATTAACACCACCCACTTTGATTTCAAACGGAAAAACTAGATTTGGATTTCCTGCAAAGTAAACAAAAAAGAAATTAAAATAAATCTAATTTAACTATAAGAAAAAATGACTGACAAATAACCATTTTAAAATGACAAATTCGTAAAATTGTTATTGCTGTGCCTTGTAAAATGAAAATAATATTTATAAAAAAATATTCTGTATTAAAATTTTATCAAAATTGATGAGATATTAAATGTGTTGAAATTAATAATATAAAAATGAGAATACAACGAAAATATATAACAAATGTTTGAGTAAGAATTTATCACTTAGAAAATGTATAAATTCAGAATGAAAAAAAAAGAATTATCAATCAATCCAAAACTTTACTTGATTGATATTTCCTTTTTTCATAATTAATATATTAAAAAAAAAAGATTTCAATTGTATTAAATTATGTACAGTACTAAATAAAATTATCCATGCAAAAGCAAACGTGAATATTGTTTTCTCCCTATTAATTACAAACAATTAGCATTATTATAGATCCAAATTTTTTTAATTATTGCGAAAAAAACGGAATATTTATTAAAAAATTGTGATTGAGAAATATCAATGGTCCAAATTTGTTTTATTTTTCTGCTTTTTCCAGAGAAAAACAGAATTTTGTATAAAAATTGTAATTATGAAATAGAAAGTCTTCAAATTTTATTTATGAACTAGCAAATGCTACGCGCGCGGAACATAATATTCAATTTATTATTATGCAAATTAAAAAATATTTTATTTTCAAAAATGAATTTTTGAATAATTTCAGATCAAACTTCAAAAAAATTCAATTATATTTATAAATATAGTTAAATTCTTTTTGAAAAATTTAGATTATATATTCAAAACAAATTCCCGAAAGAATTTAATTTTTTTTCTTTATTCGTAATAAAAAATTACAATAGAATTCAATTATTTTTTTAAATTTTAATAAATTCTTCGAAAAAAATCAATTAAATTTATAAACAGTAAAATTCATTGCAAAAATTCAATTCTATTTTAAATCATTGCAAAATTTCACGAAAGAATACAATTTTTTCCATAATTTATAAAATTTTTCAAAAGAATTCAATTACTTCCTAAAATTTTAATAAAATTTAATAATTAGCTGTTCAATTTCAATTATTAACAAGCACGATTACTTTAAAAAATTGAAAGAAATTGTTCATAAAATTCAATTATTTTCAAAAATTTTAATTAAAATTATTTATGAAACTCCATTAATTAAAAAAAATCCAAAGAAATACTTCAAAACGAATTTAATTCGAGTTTTCAAAAATTTTAACAAAATTCTTCGCGAGAATTCAATTATTTTTCTAAATAATAAAATATTTCGTAAAAATTTAATTATTTCTTATACAATTTTAAATAAATTCCCCGAAAATGCAATTTTTCTTAAAAAATTTATTAAAACTCTTCAAAAGAATTCAATTTTAAGAAATATTCAATTATTCACAAAATTATTTATTTTTACATATTTAAATAATTGAATTCTCATAAAAATATATAATTTTTTACTGTAATGCTAACAGAAATAAAGACCTAAATATATCAATTTTATCAATTACATTATTTTTCAAGTATTAAATAATTGGAAAATTAATACTGTGTGTACCGATGTGAATTTCAAATATAATCACGTGACTAAACGATGCGCAGAGTTTTTAAAATCTCAAATTGTAATTATTTCTCCTATATTTTTGATAAATTAAATGAAAAGAATTCATATTTTTCTAAATTTCAAGAAAACTATATTTGTCAAACGAAAATATTAATTTATCAGTCAACAATAACAACAAATTATAGGTTATGTTGCAATGCAACTATACTACTCCGTGAATACAACAATCGTAATTAAAAATAAAAAACCAAAAGAACAGGAACTCAAATCCTTATCATTTAGTTAATAGACACTGTCGAATGTAATTTATCAAAATAAACTTACCGGGATCCCAAAACAAAAGAAAAATGTTTGAATCAACAAAAGAATCACAGCAAATCACAGGATTCACAGGGCAACTGCCTGCGCGCAAAACTACGTGAAGTTGTGTGAGTGTGTAAGACAGTGTAGCCAACTTTCGCTACAGCCAATACCAACCATGCAACCCAAAATGAAATTTACGTTAAATTTCAAAATATAAATTGCAAGTTCTTACACGTTTTGAAAACCCTTTTGTCCTACTCATAAAAAACCCCACGTTTCTTAATATTTATAACGAACGACATAATCCATAATTTAAAGAAATGGATAATTTGCCACCAGCCATTAATAAACAATATACTTTATAAAATTTTGCAATGCGACACGAAAAAAAATTTGACAAAATTTCACCCTCAATTGCACAAAGCATACAACAATGTTGCGAAAATAGGTTATGTTAGAATGCAAAAATCTCGATCGCAAATATCAAACAAAATACAAGAAATACAGAAATAAAAGATCCTAGTAGTTAAATAAACTATATTGTCGAATATTAATATTCAAAATAAACATACCGGCATGGCATCATGAAGCATGCGTTCCATGCAACCCGATGATCTCGACACAAAAGAAGCTCCGAATCCATCAGAATCGTTGTCATCCACAATGACATCTGCACAAATAGATTATATTCACATCAGAATTACCGATTGCACTTGAATTTGTTCAATATATATTAATGAAATTACATTTTTAATATGAAAAACTACGACAAACTGAAGCAAACTAAAGAGAACAAAATGTCACGTGAGCTACGAGAGCTGCGCAAGGCAAGTGACGCTAGCTGCAAGGCGTGCGCGCGCATCGGCGCATGTCAGTTTAGCCAACGTTAGAAAACTAAAAATGAACATGGCGCCAAATTTCAAATAAATCATTATTGTAATTTTTCTTACTATTCAAAGTTTATTAATTAAATTATAGTTAATTAATTGAAAAATTAATTAATAATAAAAAGAATAATTAATATTAATAAGAAAAAAAATTATTATTATTATTATTATTATTATTATTAGTATAAAACTTGAAATATTCTAATTTAAATAAAATTAACTCCAAAATAATAAAAAATTTTTAGCCTTATTTTCAATATCTTAATAAATTTAATATTAAATTATTTGTAAATCTGTCTACTTACAGAAATAAATATTTATTTAAACAAATATTTATTTTTAATAATTAAAAAAATATTTCCAAAACGAAAAATTTTTTTATTTCCTAATTTTTTAAATCTGTTTGTCAATTATTTTCGAAAAATAATTAAATTTTTGCATTTATCTCGCGTAAAAAAAGGTAATTTAATTATTTGTTAATCGAAAACAATATAATTACATATGACATAATTTTTATTATTTATTACAAAAATTTTCAACATTTTATTACATATTTTAATAAACTTTTCGTCCGTCATTATAATTTTCTCGCTGAAAAAATATTTTCAGTCACAGCGAGTTATATTTATTTATTTTAATGTACCAACACAAAAATACTAAATTTGTTGTAATAATTATGAAACAAGATTATTTTTATAAAATAATGGAACAGAACACTAACATTCCTCGATATAATAAACTATTAACGAAAATCACAATGTTTTCTCTGAATATAAACAATAAAACATGAAAATAAAAAAATAATTATTGACATTGACTTTTTTATCGAAAAAAATATTCACATTTTTATCGAATCGAATTGAAATGATTGATTTTTTTTTAGTTGGAATGATATTCTTTATTAGCAGCTCTTCGTTTTTTCTGTTGATTGAGATAAACTGAGATTGGTTGACGAGCATTACGCGCCAACATTCTCTGCTTAAACCATTTCATTGCCAATGAACTTTGTGTTTTTTGTTTCTTCTCCTTTTGTAAATTGACAATTTCAAATTCAGTTGTACTGCCAAATGAACTCACGGAATTGAGAGTAGGTCTTCGTGTTGAAGGTCCAGGACGTGGTTGTTGTGTTCCACGTGATGGTGAATCGATATTTTCTTTTTTCAACATTTTCTGCCGTTTATTTGGTCTTGGAACATCCTCGAGATCTTGGAGTACGTCATCTGGTAGACGTTTCATTTCGTCGGATTTTGTTTTTCTTATATTATCCTCGTTAGATTTCTTCTTTTTCTTACGATCTTCCTTTCCCTTGATGCCTTCTTTGATACTTTGGGCTTTTTTCTTCATTTCATCGGCGGCACGTAGGAGACCTTCGGCAAAACTGAGAGTTTCTGGTTCTTCATCGTCGGCGTCGGATAATTCATAATGAGTCGAAGAAGCAACTGGTACTTTAGAGGCTGTCGATTTAAGTTCACGTTTATTTTTCTTCTTTCGTTTTGGTTCAACTAACGATTTTTCAAGGTTTGGAGATTCTTTGTGCTTTTTGGTCTTTTCCTCTTCGTCGCTTAGAGACCTGTCCGATCTGCTTTTTGATAAAACGGGACTTGATAAGAGGAGATTCTTTTTATTGGTAGTTTCCGCTTCATCGGAAGAAGTTTCTTCATCTATTTCTTCTTCTTCGTTTTCTTTCTTCGATTTTGACTTGGAAACTTTTTCCTCTTTATTTTCCAGTGAAATATTTCTTTTCTCTTTTTCGACTTCTTTTTCATCATCTTTTCCTTTTTTCGTCAGTTTCGATTTATACAATTGAAGAGATGATTTTAAATCGTCTGCGAAAACGGATTCTTCGCTTTCGTCGTCATCATCTGCTTCTTTGTTGTTAACTTCTTCACTTTCTTCATTATCATCTTCTTCATCATCACTTTCTTCATTATCTCCTTCTTTGTTATCAACTTCTTTATTATCGACTTCTTCAGGACGAGCTTCTTTCTCATCATCATCTTCCTCTTCGTCATCATCATCACTTTCTTTTTCCTCATCTTCTTCATCGACGATTTCGACCTTCTCAGCTCCCTTCTTACTTTCATTAACATCAACTTCCTCGTAATGCTCCGTTTCGGAATCTTCGCTTTCCTCTTCCTCGTCATCATCGGCAATAAAATCAGCTAAATCCGATCCCTCATCTTCGGAGTCTGAACGCTCCGTTTCTGAGTCTCGACAATTATCTCCAGGAACATCATCATCGGAATATTTTAAATTACTTTTACCACTGAGATTGTATTCTCGAGCTATATCTGAGTCAATACTCCTGGAAGCGTCTTCGCCAGTTTCCTGTAAATGACAAAGTAAATTAGAAAATGTAAATTAGAAAAAATTTATCAGGGTTGCCAGGAAAATTTAATTTTGTTTTTCCCTGACTTTTCTCTGATTTCCAGACAAAGTTTTCACTAAAATTTTAACTGAAATGACTTTTTTAGACAATTTTTATTAGGAAATTAATTGAATTCTCTACGAGAATTCAATTATTTAAATACAAATATAAATAATTAAATGTTTCTCGAAATTGAATTCTCATAAAGAATTTTATCAACAAATTTTTAAATAATTGAATTCTTTCGACGAATTTTCATAAAATTTTTAAGAATAATTACATTTTTCAAGAAATTTAATGAAAATTGTATTAAAAATAATTGAAATTCTGCGATGATTCCTTAAAAGAATTTTATTATTTTTAAAAATAATGGAATTATTGCGAAAAAATTTATAGAAAATTGGCAAATAATTGAATTACTGTGAAATTTTTATTATTCATGAAAATAATTAAATTACGAAAACTATTGAATTTTATTATTCATGAAAATAATTGAATTTCTGTAAGAAATGCGATGAATTTTATTACTTCTGATAATAATTGAATTTCTGCAAATCATTTATAATTATTCTCAAAAATTCCATTTTTTAGTGTTTTTAACTAAAATTTTTTAATTTTCTATAGATCCAATATTTTTTAAAATTAATTTAAAATATATATTAAAAATCGTAACTAATTTCAACAGAATTGGAATTAATAACATTTTTTTAAATTTAAGTTTTTTAAAATCTTCAATTAAATTATTTAAAAAGAAATTATTGCTAAAATTCATTTTTTACTCAATTTTTATTAGAAAATTCTACCTACGAGAATTTAAATATTTTAATACAAAAATTAATTATTTATTTAATAATTGAATGTTTCTTAAAATTGAATTCTTATGAAGAACATTATCAAAAAATTTTTAAATAATTGAATTTTTTTGATGAATTTTAATAAAAATTTTAAGAATAATAACATTTTTCGAGGAAATCGACTAAAATTGTATGCAAAATAATAAAAATTCTACGATAAATTTCATTATTGATGAAAATAATTGAATTCCTATACAGAATATTATTATTTACAAAAATAATTGAATACCTACAAAAAGTTTTATCATTTATGAAAATAATTGAATTATTGAGAAGAAATCTTTTTAAAAATTTGTAAATAATTGAATAACATGAGAAATTTTTATTATTTATGAAAATAAATTAAATTTCTGTAACAAATTTTATTATTTATCTAAATTTTGAAGAGAATTTTATTATATTTCTGAATAAAATTGAATTTCGGCGAAGAATTTTATTACTTCTGATAATAATTGAATTTCTGCAAATCATTTGTAACTTCTCAAAAATACAATTTTTTTAGTGTTTTAAACTAAAATTTTCTATGAATCCATTAGTTTTTATAATTAATTAAATATCTATTAAAAAATATAACTAATTTCAGAAGAATTTTAATTATTAAAATTTTTTAAATTTAAGTTCATTTTTAAATCAATTTTTATTCAAAAATCCTACGAGAATTTTATGAACAAATTTTTAAATAATTCAATTCTTTTGACGAATTTTAATAAAATTTTTAAGAATAATTACATTTTTCGAAAAATTTAATGAAAATAATTGTATTCAATTCTTATCTAAAATTCATTTTTAAATCAATTTTTATTTGATAATTCTACGATAATTTAATTATTTAAATAGAGAAATAAATGATTTATTAAATAATTAAAATAATGTTTCTTAAAATTGAATTCTTATGAAGAATTTTATCAACAAATTTATTAATAATTGAATTCATTCGACAAATTTTAATAAAATTTTTAAAGGAATTGAATTAAAATTATATTGAAAATAATTGAAATTCTACGATGAGTTTTAATATTGATAAAAATAATTGAATTCCTATGAAGAATATTATTATTTTTATGAAAATAATTGAATCCCTTTAAAAAATTGTTATTAATTATGAAAGAAATTAAATTATTAAGAAGAAATTTGAAAAAAAAATTGTAAATATTTGAATTCTATAAGAAATTTTATTATTTATAAAAAATTCTGTAAAAAAATTTTATTGTTTATGATAATAATTGAATTATTGCGAACAAATTTATAAAATATTTGTAAATAATTGAATTTCTGTGAAATTTTTGTTATTTATGAAAATAATTAAATGTTTGCGTAGAATTTTATTAAATTCTTTTTTTTTTAATAATTGAATTCTTTTGAAAAAATTTATTATAGTAGATGTTAAAAATTATTTATTAAAAAATTAAACTAATTTCAGTAGAATCTGAATTATTAAAATTTTTCAAAATGTTAAGTTCTTTAAAATTTATAAATAAATTCATTAAAATTATTAAATTAAATTATTGTCAGAAATAGAAAAAAATTTAAGGTAAAATTCGTTGCATTTTTTTTTAAACGAATTTTGAAATTTGATAATTTTTCTAGTACTTCGTTATTCACTCACCTCACTTTCGCTTGTTTGACTGAACATAAAAGTGGGAATCCTCGAGACAGAATCCCCAGTTTCATCCAATTTTCCCCTCGAACTTGATTTTCTACTGCTTTCCACATTTGAAGATCTCTTTTTCGGTGTTGGAGTTTTATTTTGACTTTTTCGAATATTTTTAACAGTTTCCATTGTCTCTTGATCAGAAGATTCCTCCCCGTCCGATAATAATGAATTCCCATCCTTAGCACTTTCCAAATTTGACAATCTTTTCTTCGCCGATGAAGTTTTCTTGTCGCCTTGACTTTTTCGAGTACTTTTAACAGTCTCCATTGTCTCATCACCAGAAGATTCCTCTTCGTCCGGTAATAATGATTTCCCATCCTTAGCACTTTCCAAATTTGACAATCTTTTCTTCGCCGATGAAGTTTTCTTGTCGCCTTGACTTTTTCGAGTACTTTTAACAGTCTCCATTGTCTCATCACCAGAAGATTCCTCTTCGTCCGGTAATAATGATTTCTCATCCTTAGCACTTTCCAAATTTGACAATCTTTTCTTCGCCGTTGGAGTTTTCTTGTCGCCTTGACTTTTTCGAGTACTTTTAACAGTCTCCATTGTCTCATCACCAGAAGATTCCTCTTCGTCCGGTAATAATGATTTCTCATCCTTAGCACTTTCCACATTTGACAATCTTTTCTTCGGTGTTGGAGTTTTACTGTCGCCTTGACTTTTTCGGGTATTTTTAACAAATTCCACAGTTTCTTCACCGGAAGAAATTTCTTCCGACAATAATGAATTCTCACCACTCTCCACTTTGCTTTTATTTAAATTATTCTTTTTTCCCTCAGATATTTCACGTTTACCATCAAAGGAATTTAAAGTTTCCAAACTCATTCTATCTAGAGATTTAAAACCTCTTGTTTTTTTCGACACAATCTCAGAGCCACTTAACGATTTCGATTTACTTCTTTTGAGAATGTTATCCAAAAATTTGGAATCGGGTTCCTTTTCTTTCTCCTCTTCCTCGGAATCGGGAATTATTTCTTCCTCCAATATTGTGTTGGATTTATTTTTGTTCGAGTGAGAAGGAGAATTAACTCTCTCCTCTGGAGAATCGTATTCGTACATTGTGAGTTCAAAATCATTATTGGAAGTATCGTAATCATCACTGCTTCTTCTCTTTCGTTTTCTATTAATTTTCTCATGGCTTTTCAATAAATTTCTCTCAGTTGACTTGGAAATTTCCTCTTTGTTTGACTTGAGAAATTCCTCTTTATCTGGTGTGACCAAAAGATGAAAGGACGGCGATTTTGAAAGTGAATTCTTCACTGAATTATTGAGAATTGATTTTCTCTTCTCAATGGAAAGTCTCTTCTCCGAAGATTCTCTCTTTGAAGAAATATTTTCATCCTTTTCGTCTGATTTTGATTCTAAATTTTCAGTAGATTTAAGTGATTTTCTCTTCTCGGTGGACAGTCTCTTCTCCGAAGATTCTCTCTTTGAAGAAATATTTTCATCCTTTTCGTCTGATTTTGATTCTAAATTTTCAGTAGATTTAAGTGATTTTCTCTTCTCGGTGGATAATCTCTTCTCCGAAGATTCTCTCTTTGAAGAAATATTTTCATCCTTTTCGTCTGATTTTGATTCTAAATTTTCGGTAGATCTCAATGATTTCTTATTTTTTTCTTCCTGACGTCTATTCTTTATTTCATCGATGACAATTTTGTTTGGTATTTTATTTCCCAAACTGTATCGAGATTTTGTGATCAAATGTTTTTCACTGCCACTTTCAATCATACTGTTTCTCGGTTTAAAATTACGATCCATTCTCTCGGGAACTTCGATTTTTTCCGAATTATCGACATTTTGATTTTTAGTCGCCGCATCATTCATGGCATTTAAAATAGACGTGTCAACCTCCATCGGTTCACAAAAATATTCCTCCTCAACAGTTTTGTCCTTATCTTCATTTTTCGATAAATCCAAATCAATTAAAGACGTTTCCTTCTTTATTGACGAATCTTTCTTCAATTCCTGTTGACTGTCATTAGAACTGAAGTTCAATTTATGCGACATGAGACGTTTCATTAAATTCTTCTCCATAGCATGGACTTTCTCCTTCTTTTTCACAACTGATTTGATGCTGTTAATTTCGTCGACAATAATTATTGAATCGTCGGTCTCTTCCACAATTGATTTCTCCAAGGTTTCATCTGTTTAGAAAAGAAATGTTATATTATTAATGAATAAAATAATTCGTAGGATCAGGGCTAGAACCAGTGAAAGTATTAAAAAATAGTTAAATACGGACTTTACGGACCAAAAATGAAAAATTTTGGAATAATTTTATTACTTTTGAAAACAATTGAATTTCTCCAATAATTTGTAATTTCTCTAAAATTCTCCAAATTATATCGTACAATTTACCAACTTTTCGTCTTTTATAAATCAAATTACAGTCTTTACGGACCTTTTTTCAAAAAAACTGTTCGAGCCCTGTATTATTAATTGATGAGAAAGAATTAATTTACCGTAGTCAGTTTTATCCTCTTCTAACAATGAAGCTTCGACGGGAACTGACATTACCCGCTTTCGACTCTTCGAAGATGCTTTTTTCTTACTGACAGAATCATCCTCGTCAGCAACAGATTTTCCTCTTGTTTTGCGTGTCACAGGCGGTGGAGGACTTTGGTCTTCCGATTCCGACAATTTATTGCGTCTATTAAAGAAAATTAAACATTTCAATTTGAATTTTCTTTCTTTTTCAATTCTCTTTTATAAAAAAAATTAAAAAAGAAAAATTGAAAATGTAATCTGTCGTTTTTCTAAAGGACTTAAAATACTTTTCTAGACACAAACCTTGAATATCTTGTTGAACGAGTTGTACTATCTCCAATATTTGTAATTTCAGGGGAAGCACGTTTTCTGTAAATCAAAAAAAGGAAATCAATAATTTACGGTCAATTTTTTTAAATAAAAATCTAAATTTTTGCCTCAAGTATACAAACCTTAATTTCCTGGTTGCTTGAGGCGAATTCTCAATATCATTGGATGGTGATCGATGTCTGTAAAGTATTTGAATATTAAACCTCGGTACTTTTTTAATATTTCAAACAAAATTCGAACAGAGAACAAAAACAAAAAACAAACCTTAAAACTCGACCAGGTGTAGGATATTTATCCGGATTTGGATTCTTCTTACGAAATTCACGTTTAGATGTAATTGATTTTTCTGATTCCGGTGAAGAATCCACTACATGTTTTATACGTGTACTTCGTCTCACTGGAGAATCAGAAATCAAGACCGTCTGTCGGGTTTTACGAACTGCAGAAAAAGTAAAAACTTGTATTAAATGTTCTCATAAAGAATTTTATCAATAAATAAATTTATAAATAATTGAATTATTTTGACAAATTTTATAGTACAATTTTTAAGAATATTTACATTTTTCGAGGAATTTAATTAAAATTGAATTAAAAATAAATAAAATTCTAAGACGAGATTTATTATTTGTGAAAATAATTGAATTTCTAAAAAGAATTTTATTATTTACGAAAATAATTGAATCTCTGTAAAAAATTGTATATTTTATGAAAATAATGGAATTATTACTAAGAGATTTATTAAAATTTTTGAAAATAATTTAATTTCAGAGAAGAATTTTATTATTTATAAAAATAATAAAAATTGAAATTTTTTAAGAGAATTTTTTTATACTTTTGAACATAATTGAATTTCAGGAAAAGTCCTGAACTTTCTCGACTTTCTCAAAGGTATTCGAGCAAATAAAAGTATTCTATTTCAATCAATTCTTATTTTCCTATAAACTATAACAATTAAAAACAAACTGTTCTTTTTCAAGAAAAATACAACAAACTAGAAAATAAACTATTCAAAAAAAGGTCTAAATTAAAATTCTACTAAAGTTTGAATGAAAATAATTATATTAAATACTCTGGAAAGTTCAGGAATTCTATATATTGCAAGTATTTAGTCTTAAAATGTTATATTTAACCGTTACGACTTACGAAATTCTAACAATGAATTTTACACAATCAAATAATAATTTATCAAACTTACCCGGCTTGATTTCCTCTTCTTTCTCAGATGTTTTTCTAGTTCGCGGCATTATTCTAATTACTTTGTTTAATATTAAACAATTTACAAAAGGTAAGATTTATGATAACAAAACGTATAAAATTAAAACACGTGTTGCTTTATCTGCATGCAAATAAAAAATTCTAACCTAACTTTTGTTGAAAATGCCGAAAAAGAAGATCGGAACGATCCGAACATTGACGAAAATAACCGAAGTTTTGAATCTGATTAAGGTTCCCGCCAAAAGTTGGCGCTGCAATCGTGACAGCTGATTGTTGTTTTGTTTGTGAATTCTATTGTTTCTTTACTCAAATTTATTTTTATAAATTTATACTAAAAAAAAGTTAGTATTTAAGAATATAAACTCTAAAAAAGATATTTATAATGTTTTGAGTGTGTGTTTATTGACTTGTAGACAATGAGTCAAGAGAACGTTTGTTTACTGTGCATTACAGAAAATGCAAAATACGATAAGGAATTTTTGGCACAAAGAGCTTTTTTCTCAGCTCCAAAGGTATTTAAATTTTCTTCAAAAGAAAATAAATAGAAAGTGCATTTTCTTTGAAATTAATATTTCAGTTACAGGAATTACGATTAAAATGGAATGAGGCAATTATTAAAATTCATCCAGTTTTGGAAGATTTTGTAAATAATGTCAATACATACAAAATTTGTGATTTACATTTCAAAGAGTCGGATATTAAGAAGTGCATTAGTGAGAAATCTTCACAGCAAAATATATGTACACTTCCACTGTGGAATTGGGTTTTAAAAATCAAAGCTCTTCCCCTAAGTGCCAAGGAATTGGAAAATGAAAAAAATCAGGTATTTATTTTCCACTATCAGGGAAATGACAAGAAGACAAATTTTTTGTCAGGAGAATTAAGAATAAATAAAGTAAAGTTTAGTTAAAAATTATAGAAAATAATTAAAGTTTGGAACAGGGTTTATAGTTGTAATTTTTAGAAATTAATAAAAATCATCAATTTTACACATTTTCTGTAAACTTTCATATTTCCCTATAAAATGAATTTTGTCAGGGAAAATAATTTTAATGTCAGGAAAATTTCAGGGAAATTGATAAACTGAAAATTGTGACCATCCTGCACTAGTTTTTACTTATAATCATATTTTCCGATTTTCTAATAATTTTTTCTTTACTTTACAGATTTTCAACACAACAGAAAAATCGAGAGAAAATTTGAACCGATTAGAAACGAATGTTGTTGATCAGGATCACTCGTATATAAGCAAATCATTATTGCAACCGGAAAATAATAATGAATACGCGAAAATGACTAATTCATTTAAAGAAAATAAAAAAGCGAAGGAAAAATCAATTCAGCCAATTAAGCACGATCATAAAAATGTCAAATTCGCACCTTATTCGATTAATTCCGATAAAAGAGGGGAGAGTAATCAATTATCTCAAATTCTACAATTGGAACCGGAAAAAAATCGTGTTTTACTCGTCGCTACGGAACCGAATACAATTTCTGTTTACTCACCTGTTACTCCCGTTTCTTCGACAAATATTTCTTCCACTTCTAATTCTTCTTCTTCTCCATCATCATCATCATCATCATCACTTATTTCATCACAAAATTGCGTTTCATCTCCAAAAATTTATCCCATAATTACAAACGTAACGTCACTTGCTCAAAAAACTCCGAAATTCGTTTCACTTCGTAAAATCACTTCACCAGCACTAAATTATCAATCAAAGATGATTCCAATTTTACCCAAATCGAAATTAAATATTCCCTTGACGGTAAAATCAAAATCTGTCCAGTCAATTCCGTCAATTGGAAAAAAGTTAATTACACTTGCAAATTCGCAACTTCCAAGAGAGCCGATAATTTCAATTGAGGAAAATTCGATGAATAATACGATACAATTGAAGCAAAAAATTATTGAACCGATTCAAAATGTGAAAACAACTTTGACAATGAGTGACGGAGTTTATACTTTTTTGAAATTAATGGACGATTTGAAACAAAAACCTCTTCCAAGAGGATGGGCATATCAATTAATGGATGAGAATAAACTTTTATTCACGCAATATTGTATTAAGAGGAAATTTCCCATTTTTCTCCTGGTTGACAAGGATTTAACAACAACGGTCAGTTGTCAACATTATTTTATCAATTTTTATACAAGATTTAATAATTTTCATTTTTAGTTTTTAAGTATTTTATTCTTTAAGTTTTCCAAAAAAGGATTTAAAAATTTATAGACTCATAGAATCTATAGAATTAATTCTAAACTGAAATTAAAAAATTTAATATTATAAACATCGATTTTTTTTGCAGATTTCCGTGGGCTATGAAGCTGTTAAATTTATTCAACACAAGATCACATTAAATTTATTTGCAGATGTTTGCAAAGGTCTTCGTAAAATGGAAAGTTTCAAATGGTGCTTGGGAATTGGATTTGATCAAAATAAGTGAGTTTCTATTTCGATTTTTACAATTTTAATGTCAATGAATAAAATAATTTAATTGCAATTATTTAATTGTTTGATGGTAAATTATAATTTCGATTTTTATATTTACAGTCACTCCGATATGTGTTTAATTTTATGCAGAACTTTCAATTCAAGATGTCATGTGTGTTTAAAAATAAGGCGCAATGCGCAAAGACGGGAAAGTAATGAAATCACCAAACAACGAAAACAATCTAAAGATTTACGACCATTATTAAATAAATTAAGGGGAATAAACAAACGACTTGATACCAAGGTTTGTTTCAATGGTTTCAATTATTTATCTCAATTTCGAAAAAGGAGACAAATTTTCTGAAATCATTTCCGGAAAAAATTTTCACTTTTTCCCTGAACCTAAAGAATATTCTGATTTACTCTATAAATGATTAGATTATTTTTAATAATTTTTGAAAAAGTTCTTCCTTGAGAATTTTTTAAGCTATTTGTCTACAATTCAATTTTACGCAAATTTCCATTATTCTGAAATTCTTCAATTAAATACATATTAGAAAATAAAAATATGAAATAATTTCAAAAACAAATTCAATTAAACTTTTTCTAAAAAATTAATTCTACAGAATTGTTAGTTAAAAGTATGAAAAATTCAAATTTTTAAAGATTTTAATTTGAAACCTTTTCAAAATTCAATTATTCCAAAAAATTCACGATATAATGCTTTTAATTTTCAATTATTATCTAAAATTTTAACTGAAATTAATTTTTTAATTAATTTTTAACAGAAAATTCTACGAGAATTCAATTATTTAAATACAAAAATAAATAATTGAATGTTTCTGAAAATTAAATTCTTATAAAGAATTTTATCAACAAGTTTTTAAATAATTGAATTTTTTCGACGAATTTTAATAAAATATTTAAGAATAATTACATTTTTCGGGGTGTTTGATTAAAATTGGATTAAAAATAATTTAAATTCTGGGATGAGTTTTATTTATAAAAATAATTGAATTTTTGTAAAAAAAATTGTATTAGTTATGAAAATAATTGAATTATTGCGAAGAAATTTATAAAAAATTTGTAAATAATTGAATTCATGTGATATTTTTATTATTTATGAAAAAATTGAATTCCTAAAATAAAGAAGTTTATTATTTATGATAATAATTGAATTTCTGCAAAAAATTTTATTAAAATTCTTTAAAATAATTAAATTTCTTTTTTGCTAAGAATTTAATTAATATTTTTGAAAATAATTGAATTTTTTTGAGAAATTTAATTAAATAATAAATTAATTTAATTAAAATTGTACTGAAAATATTTCAATTCTCATAAAGAATTTAATCAAAATTTTCTCAAAATGTAATTGAATTTCTGCATAAAGAATTTTATTATTTAGGAAAAATTCAAATTTTATCAAAGTATTTGAAATTAAATTTTTTTTCTTATAAAAAATTCTATTGAAATTTTTCAAAATAATAAAATTTTCGCGAAGAATTTTATTCAAATTCTTTAAGACAATTAAATTCCTGCAAAATATTTTATAAATTATAAAAAATAATTGCGATCTTGCTAAGAATTTAATTAAAATTTTTAACATTAATTGAATTTTTGAAAAGATTTTTAACAAATTTTTAAAATATAATAATTGAATTTTTGTTAAAACTTTTATTAAATTATTAAAATAGTAGATATTAAAAATCATTAAATTAAGGAAATTTTTTTAAAATAATTGAAATTTTGCCAAGAATTTTATTAAAATTTTTGAAAATAAATGAATTTCAGAGAAGAATTTTAATATTTTTAAAGATAATTGAAATTTCGCCAAGAATTTTTTCAAATTTTTGAAAATAATTGAATTTTTGCGAAGAATTTTATTATTTATGAAAATGTAATTGAATTATTGCAAATAAATTTATTAATTTTTTTAAATAATTGAATTCTTTTGACGAATTTTAATAAAATTTTTAAAAATAATTGAATTGCGTAGAATTTTATTATTTTTAAAGATAATTGAAATTTTGACTAGAATTTTTTTTTATATTTTCGAACATAATTGAATTTCTTCGAAGAAGAATTTTATTACTTTTGAAAATAATTGATTATGAAAAAGATTTCTAAATAATACAATTCCTGTGAAATTTTTATTATTTTTGAAAATAGTTAAATTTCTTCGAAGAATTTATTTAGTGTTCTTAACTAAAATTCTTCTATAAATCTATTATTTTCAATAATTAATTAAATATATAAGACAAATAAAAAAAGACACAAAAATTCAGAATTTTCTTTTCCATTCTAAAAATTTTTCCAGTACTTTAAATAAAAATTCTTGACTTTTCCCACAATTCCCTGACCTCAGGTAACGTTGTCAAATGACTCTTTATATAAATTTAATTGCCTGAATAATAAAATGAAATTGATTTTTTTCAGGTGTGTAAATTAAAACTGATGGTCAATCATCTGAAGAAAAAACAGTGCGTTGAATGTCTACATAACAAATTTCTCGAAAAAAATTCAATTCCAGTGGAATCTGAAAGTTTATCAACGACAACGTAATTTTTCCTCTTTATTCTTTTCTTTTTCATCATCGATAATTTATTTTAATTGTATAGTTTATTATGTTCATGAAAATTCTAAATAAATTTTTCCATAAAAAAAAGTACAGCCTTAAATTATTCTTAACCTCTTTTTATCCAAATTTAAAAAACTTCTTATCTCCCAAGTAAAGGGGTTTTAAAACAATTAAAAAAAAGATTTTTTTCATTCAATTCATATATTCAAATTCAGTTACCTAACCGGATATTCACCTCCCCCCTAAAAAACGAATCGATAGAGCACTTGAACACGAAGCATGACGGAAATCCACGATTGAGCTGGTCGAAATAAGCCGAATCTTACCGGAAGTAACCGAAACGTCATCAAAACGAACAAGACCTGAATAACGACGCTCGGCGGCGGTTCCTCTCCGGCTTGGATCGAAATTGTGTTCGCGTCTACGGGCGCGGCTTGCGTTCGAACTGGCGTTTTTACAAATAAAAAAATGTCGTCCCTCGACTATTTGGACTTGTGTCGTTTGTGTCTAGTGAAAGACCGTGTCGGAATATCAATTTTCGAAGATGATGGTGATGTGAGACAAGTGTTCCTGAAAATTGCCTCTTGTCTACCGGTCAAGGTAAGCCAACTACGCCACCGTTTATAAGGCCTTCCGCCATTTTGCTGTGAAATAAAGTTTAAGGAATTTTATCTCATGTACACTCACCTTAATTGTTTCTTTTCACAACGTCTCTATTATTCATTCTAATAGCTATTGATCCCTCTATTGTGAAATCCTTTTATTTGCAAATTGAAGGCGGATTTTCACGTTTTAAGCGTCGTTCTTATTCCCCTCCCAATTTCTTTTGTTTCACCGACGCCATGAATCGTTTTTAGCCAAACATGCCGTAAAATTCAATTTTCCCTTTTCTTTTTTAGTTTTTTTTTAATTCGAGTTTGTTTTTTCTTTAGTAAATATTATTATTGAAAATAGGTAAATAATTTGACCTTTTTTCTTTTATTTCAATTTTTTTCTATTTTTTTGTACTAAAATTCGGGTTGAAAATTTCTTCTGAAAATTGAGCGGAATTGTAAACATTTGTCTTTGTGATTTTATTTTATTTTTATTTACCGCCGAAAATGCGGTAGAATTTTCTCGTGTGCGGCTTTCAATGGCGTCTATACGAAGAGATCGATTCTGTCTCTTTCTCTCTCCCTATCACTTCAATGAACTGTCCACCATTTCGCGAAAGCCCTTTGTCTACTTGGCTTGAGAAAAAAAGGCCGTTGATATTTTCTTTTTTTTATTCGGGGAAATATATTTTTTTTCGCCTTTTTTTTGAAAAATTGATCAAATTTGCCAACAACCACCTGTATATTGTACTCAACAGATGTCTGTCTGTTTTAACATTCGTCGTGTTTTATTGATGCCTGTCGCAACTCGCGTTCGAAGGCGAATTATTGATCATTTCACTTTGCAAAGTTTCGATCAGACTTCATTAAATTTTTACAATTCTTTTCTCGTAATAGCGTTTAATAACAAAACTGCTATTCGAGCGGCTTCTTTATTTTATTGAGTCGGGGAAATTTCATTTAATATTCCAACTATAAATTAATCTTTACAAAAAGATTTGTAAATTAATTAGTTAATCTTTACGAAAAGATTTATAAATTATTCTTTACAAAAAGATTTATAAATTAATTATCTTTACAAAAAGATTTATAACTTAATCTTTACAGAAAGATTAATCAATTAATTTGTACAGAAAGATTAATTAATAATTCCGTAAAGAAAGTTTTTTACCGAAAAAATAATGTTTATATATAGAAAATATTTTGCTAACAAAGAAATTGTTTTGTTTCAGGTATCAAGAGAAGACAAATTACCTAAGAAAATATGTGACGACTGTATGTATAAACTAGAATTATTTTATCAATTTTGGAATACGACTGCAAACGCCGAAAAGCAGCTTTTACAATGGCTCGACGACGTCGATATGCAGGACAAACAGGGTTACGTAACGGAAGTCCTCAATTCGGTAAAAAAATTTTTTTTCAAAAAATACTTATTTTTTGAATGGTTTTTAATTTTGAATTTTCGGATCGTTTGGATTTTTTTCTCGTTTTTTTTAACAATGTATTTGAATTTTTCAGAGTATAATGAAGCAGGAGCAACAGGCTAGTGAAAATAGATTAGATGAGAGTGTGATGCAAGTTTCGCATCAAAATAACATGGGCATGGGAATGATGGACAATATGGGCCTCGGTATGCCCATCATTATTTCCACCACAAATCAACCAATGACCTCAGTACCAATGGACACCAGTGGCAGTTCTGTTCAAACGATACAGGCAGTACCTGGTACCAGTACACAATCCACACACGACCAAATCTCACAAAATCAATCAGCGAACGTTGGTCATCACGAAGTCGATGAGGACTCTGATGAAGACGAGGAGAACGAGTCCGATGACGAATGTGATGCGGACGATGGTAAAAAAAAGAGCTTTTTTCATAAAGTGAAAATAATTTCTAAATATTTTAATTTCATTTACAGGGATCACAGTTGGTCTCCTTTTTTACCTAATAAGGTTTTTCCTCTTTTTCCCCCTTTTTTTCCTTCTTTAACCCTTTAACGCCCAGTGGTACATACGCTGTACCACAAATGCATTAAAGTCATCATAACTTTGAAACTAATACATATTACTAAAAATTTTAAATTCTTAGCTCTAGTAAAACTCTTCCAGCAAATAATTAAAAAAAAACAAAAGTAAAAAAATAATAATAAATAAATAAAATAATAATAAATAAAAAAAGTGTCAAGATACATTTTCTCCTATGACGGACGAAAAAATTTAAAAAAATTAATCAGATTCGTTAAAAACTTGTTACTCGGGGGTTTTTGGGGTCGCTGATTACGAATATGAAGTCAAAATTGCAAAATTCAAAATGGCGGATCCAATATGGCGGACGAGAATTAAAAATTAAATAGGATTTACTTGAATATCGTTACCATTATTTTTTAATTTTTTTTGTCCTCCATATTGGATCCGCCATTTTGAATTTTGCAATTTTAACTTCATATTCGTAATCAGCGACCTCAAGAACCCCCGAGTGACAAGTTTCATATAAATCCCATTATTTTTTATTTTTTCGTCCGCCATATTGGATCCGCCATTTTGAATTTTGCAATTTTGACTTCATATTCGCAATCAGCGACCCCAAAAACCATTATATACCAAGTGTGGTTGAAATCGAATCGGTGAAAATAATTCGGGCTTTAAAGGGTTAAAATAAATTTTATGCTCTATAATACAATAATTTTTACTTAATTTTAAAATTCCCCTTTTTGGAAAAAAACTGAATCCCCTTTTTTAAAAAATAAAATTCCCTTTTTTATTGAATGTTACATGAAAAAATCACTGTGATCCCTGTAATTTAAGTCTTTCATAAAATTATTTTTATAGTAATTTTTGAGAGGAATTCAATGGTCAGAGAATATTTTCACCCTTTTTGAATTTTTATTTTTCTTAAAAATTATTAAATTTTGATATTCATTCGTAATTTTGTAGAAAATATATTTTTGTATCCGCAAAGAAATTGCCGAAAGAAAAAAATGCTACAAAAGTAGTAAAAATCCATTTTTTCATTCGGACATTTTTTTGTAGTTTTAAAAACATATTTTCTACATTACAAATTCTAAATTACAAATGGTTTGTAAAATCTATCAATTTTTTAAGAAAAATAAAAATTTCAAAAAGGTCAAAATATTTTCTGATTCTTTTTTTAAAAAAATTACTATAAAAATAATTTTATGGGAGATTTAAATCATTTTCTTGAAATAGTTGAAAATGTCCCTCTTTTTTCAAAAATGAACCTTATTTTTCAAATTTTTACAGAAACTCCCTTTTTTTAAATTTTTTATCATTTTCATTAGAAAGCTGAAATTTTTTCCAATTTTGTAAACTTTAAAAATGGGACAACAATCGATTTTCAAGAAAAGAAAAAAAAACAACATTTTAAATTCTTTTTGTTTATTTTATTCAAAATCTATTGTTGTCCCATTTTTTAACTTTACATAATTTACTGGAAAAAATCTCAGCTTTCGAATAAAAATGATAAAAAAGTAAAACAAGAGGTAGTTTCTGTAAAAATTGAAAAATAACGTTTATTTTTAAAAGAGAAGTTGAATAATTTTTTTTAAAAAAAGAATAAGTTTTGTAATTGAAAAGTACACATAAAGCTTCAAAATTCACTAAATAAAAATTAAAATTGCTTAATTTTTCTAAAAGTCAAAGAGAAAATTTATCAATTTCATTTCTAGAAGTTATTATTGCAATTTAAATAGAACAATTTCCCTTAAAATCGAATTTTTTTTTATTGAAATCAGTTCACTTAGAATCGCTCAAATAAGATTAAAACAAATTTGAAAATTCGCATTACTGGAGACTAATTTCTTCTTTCTCTTTTTTTTTGGCAATAGGACTACCTGTGAAAGAGGAGAATGAGGAAGACCCTAACAATCGAACAGTTGAACCGACGACGTTTGTTAATGTATCCCTGCCGTGTGATGAAGCCGGACCATCGGGACTTCAACAGCAAAAAATCACCGAAATGCCTGAAATGGCGATGCCACAGGTCGCCAGCGCCGACAACAAGACTGGGTAAGTTTTCGTTCTCTATTAAATTCGCAAACATTCCAGAGCTAAAGATGTTTTGTTGTGGTATTCACAAACAATCTCACAAACACCAAAAATCCGTTCTTTTTTAAATGTTAAAAACTATTTTTTCATTTCTCTTTTCAAACTATTTCCAAAGTATTTTTCTTCAAAATATTTCCAAAGCTTTTTTTCAAAATATTTCTAAAGTATTTTTCTCAAAATATTTCCAAAGCCTTTTTTCAAAATATTTCCAAAGTATTTTTTCAAAATATTTCCAAAGCCTTTTTTCAAAATATTTTCAAAACATTGTTTTCAAAATATTCCCAAAATATTTTTTTCAATATCTTCTAGTTTAAATAAAAAGAAATGTAAATAAATAGAAATAGAGCAGATTTTTCACTAAACGAAATTCTTCTTCAAAATTATCTAAACTAATTGAATTTAAATTTTAAACCTACAATCTGTTTATTCAGAGTTGAATTTCGAACCAATTTTTCCATAATTTGAAAATTTGAAAAAAAAATTTTCCTTGAAATTCTTACTTTTGTTTGTAAAGTTTTTCGTGTTTTTTGTTTAACAAATTGAAGGTAAGTGCGCACACACTCCACAACCATCTTTAACTCTTGATATTTAGCAATTTTGATAATTTACTCAATTAAAACAAAAAAGGAAAACTTAACCAAAAGTTGGTAAATTGAAAAGAATTTTTGAATTTAAATGTCTCGTTCAAAAAAAATTGCTAGATATCTGTTATCATTTATGTGTACGCAGCAATATTAGCATGTACACGGCGTACGTTTGAATGAAATCTTTTTAAGAAACTTAAATAAGAAAAAAAAAATATTTTTCGATTGAAAAAAACTCAAAAAAAATTTTTAAAAAGATTTTTCTAAATCATTGAAACGAACGTCAAAATTAGAAAGTTACATGTAAAACAAAAGAAAAAATGGACAGAGGGTATTTAAAAAAAATGTCGTGATTTCTATTTTCTCTAGTAATTTAATAATTTAAATATTTTAAATAATTTAAAAAGTATAAACAAAGTAAAAATTATTCCACAAATATTATTCTATAAAATAAAAAAAAAAAGTTCAAAAACATTTTTTTTAAATTAAAAATTTTTTATCAAAAGAAAGGGATAATCTCTCTGTCCAAAAAGAAGAAAAAAAAACAGAAAGATGTCTACATGTTGTCGATATAATATTCCCACGCTTACGTAAAGGCACTAATGCCGCACTCGACCAACAATTTGGTTGAAATAATCACTGACGATCGATAATTTCCACAAAATAATTTTAAAAAAAAGTAAATATTTTTTTTAAGTTAGATCAGAAAAAACACTCGTCTTTTTGTTTTTTTAAATCTGAATGTCCAATTTTGATATATTATTGCATTTTTATATGCAAAGAAAAGAAAGAAAAAGTGGTGATTCAGAATTATTTCTCGGGCAGAAAAATTTTCTCTAAAACGAAAAATTTAAATCTATAGAAAAAAAAATTAGTTTCTCCTCGAAAAAAAATTTTTTTTCTGGAGAAAATCTCGTTCGGTTTTTTTATTGAAACGAAAAAAGAAAATTGGATTCATTGGATTTTCGAATTCGAAATAAATAAAAAAGTGTCTAAAAATGGACAAACAAAAAATGCTGGAATTTCGCAAGATTATCGCAAGAAGAAATTTTTCCCGGAAAGAAAAAAGAAAAGGAAAGGAAAACGAGGACAACTTCCATTTTTTCGATGAGAAGAGAGAAGAAAAATGGATTTTTGAATTATTTAAAAAGGCGAGTATTTTCTTTTTTTTACTATTAAAAAAAAAAAAATTGTTAAAATATTATTCTTTGTATTCGTTTGAAATTGTATTGTTAAATCCCGTCCCCCTCGATTTTGTAATTTATAGAAAACTGAAGGTACTTTTTCTTTTTCCCCTGAAAGTACCAGTTTTTCAGTTATCTGAATAACCCACAATTTTCCTAATTCTTATTTATTTAATATTTAATATCAAATATTTTTTTTTATTCTATTTGATATTTGGTATCGAATAAATTTGATATGAAATAAATTTTTTTCGACAAAATTTTGCGCCTTTTTTTTACCCAATCGGCTGCAATTTTGTTTCCCCTCTGCCCGAAAATAGTTTTTCTTTTTAAAAAGCTTCTTTTAAAGCTTATTTTTAATAAAAAAAAAAAAAGCGCAATTACTTTTTTGGAGACTCGAATCTTCATATTGTTGTTATTTTTTTCTCAACAATAATCAACGAGACATTGAAATTTTCTCCAGCTACGAAAAAGTAATTTTTGTTTCGTTTTTTCAACGGAAAAATAAATTCGTGTATATCAGTGAATTTAATCAAGAGAACAGGAGGAAAATTTGCAAAAAGTGTTATCAATTTTGTCAGTATTTTTTTTTTTCATTTTCGTATTTATTTTTTTAATTTGATCATAAAAATTGCGAATTGAAGACAAAATTCGTTGATTGAAAAATGACAAAAATGGAGGAAAATTAACATTTTCCTCTATTGTTTAAATAATTTTTATTTAAATAAACACGGTTTTATATATTAATTACTATTTTCAATAGTGTTTGTATTAAAAATGTGTTTTTTAACATTTTAATTTAATTAACTAAATTATACCATAGTTTTTCTGCGGATATCAAATTGAGACAAAAATCGAATCAAAATGTTGCTTCGCAACACTTTTGATTCGTTTTTTTTTCTCAATTTGATATCCTTGGGAAACGGTGACCTTCTTATATTAATTTTGAATAATATTTTATTAACAGTAATGTGTAATTATTAATTATTAATATTATTAAAATAGTAGTAATATTAATTAATACTATTTAATTAATATTATTGATATTAGTATTAATATTAATTATTAATATTTAATTAATACTATTAATATTAGTATTAATCAAATTAATCATTATTAATATTAATCATTATTACAAGGAGAAAAAAATGGAATAATTTTTACTATTTTCAAAGTAAAACTAAAATTTTCTGTAACTTCTGCTCATTTTTGGCAACTTTTTGTAATTTCGGATTAAATCTTGTTATTTTCGAAGTAAAAATTACTAATTTTTTACAAAAATTTACTTCGAACGCAGCAAAATTTACTATAAAAATATTAAAAGTTGACAAAAATGCGCAGAAATTTTTAAAAAATTAGGTTTTACTATGAAAGTGGTAAAAGTTATTTAATTCTTTTTTTTCTTTGTAAAATTAATATTAAAAATTATAATTATAAATCATTAATAATATTGATCATTATTAATTATTAATATTATTAATTATTAATATATTAATAATTAAATATTAATGTATCAAATAATATTTAGTTATTACTATTAAATATTAATTATTAGTATTTTTATTATTATTATTATTTTTATTATTATTGTTATTGTTATTATTATTATTATTATCCATTTTTGGAACATTTTTCGAAAATATTCGTTTTGATGAAGTGCTTCTGAAAATATTAAAAACCTGTGGATAAAATCGAAGATATCGTCGTTTCAAAATCCGGAAGTATTTTGGTCGCCGGAAATCGTCGTTACTGGATTAAATTCAAAGGTGACGTATATTTTTTTAAATAATTATTATTTATAATGAACTTTTACCAATAATTACCAATTTTTAGATAATAATTAGTTTTAGAAATTTAAAACATAAGTCTATTTTTCTTATCATTTCATTTATTTTTACGCTTTAGTCGGATTTTTGTCGAAATTTTTGTCATAATTCAATTTTCTCCCGAATTTGACAATTTCGACTTTTTATTGACTCATATTAATGTTTCTTTATCCAACATTTATTTAATGTACAATTTGTTTTTTTTTATTCAGTATTTTGATTTTACTATTTATCGGAAATTTCAGGTTTTAACTGATGGATTTATCAATTTACTGTCTAGTTTTATTTATTCAGTATTTTTATAGGTATTTAAAGGAAATTTCGGTTTTTTAATTGAATTATCAAAAAAAAATTGACTTATCAATTTACTATTCGCTTTTTTATTCAGAATTTTTATTTTACCACTTACTGAAAAGTGGAAAGTAGAAATTTCAGTTTTTTAATCATTGATGTATCAATTTACTATTTCTTTTTTTCATTCAAGATTTTTATTTTATTACTTATTGGAAAATGGAAATTAAAAATTATAAATTTCAGTTTTTTAATAATTAATTTATCAATTTACTATTTATTTTTTTAATCAAGATTTTTATTTTATTACTCATTGAAAATTGAAAATTTCAGTTTTTTAATAATTGATTTATCAATTTACTATTTTTCGTTTTATTCACTATTTTTATTTTGTTACTCATTGAAAGTTTCAGTTTTTTAAAAATTGATTTATCAATTTACTAGTTTGTTTATTCAGTATTTTTATTATTTCTGTTATAATAAAATCCGAGTGGTTTTACGACACAAACGAAGACATTCACTCTTCGTTTGTCTCATCATTATTTTTATTTTATTCCTTATCGGAATTTTCAGGTTTTTAATTATGGAGATTCATGAAAAATATTTTAAGTTCCGGATGAAGCTGTTTTTGTTTAAAAATGAAAATTAGGAAAGGGAAAGAAAAGAAAGAAAGGTAATGTATAAAGTATGGAACTGTAGAAAATTTTTCTCTCTCTAAGTTCGATGATACGGAAGTTTAAATGTGACAGTCAAAAATTGCAACGCCCAAGCACCTTGCACGACCACAATTGCAGAAAACACACAAGCCAAATTTATAAATGTGCATCACCGCCTGTTGCTCGTCTGCAAAAATTTGATTTTTTACTGATGGAGATCATTTTTCATCGTCGAAGAGTTTTCAATTTTTATATTTTAATTTCATTACAGTGAAACCTTTTGGAATGCAACTCTCGATTTCTTAGATTTTATTCTTACAATCCTTACAAAAATTGTAAAACTTTTGTCCAATTTTGTAGAATTGTAAAAATTTTGTGCAATTTTGTAGATTTGTAAAAATTTTGCACAATTTTGTAGAATTATACAAATTTTGTACAATTTTTACAATATTCTGGAACAAATTTTTTACAATATTCACTTAGAAAATAATTCTAATTTATTCAATTCAATTACGAAATTTCAAACCAAAGGGAAATTTAATTCTTGTTGGACAAAAAAGGTTTTGCATTCCGACAGGTTCGACTGTATTATTAATTATATCAATTAATATGGATTTTTAATAAAAATTTTTGTTGTAGGTATGAAAAATGATCTTGGAAAATAATATAAACATTTTTATCTCTGTGTGTTTTTTCGGTCACTTTTGCCGGCAATGTCCTTGGGTTTTGTCAATTTCAGAGATGGAGGTACATTCGGCGGTTTATCAGGGATGCTACGACAAATACTTTCACCCTCACCCGAACAGGCAGATATCGGATTAGCCGGCTGCTGTAATTATCTACAACCATCAGTCTTCATGAATCATCCAACGATGATGCCATCGAGTTTACAAATGGCACCATCACTATCACATCTCTCGGTTCTCTATCCAGAGCAACCTGTTCTCCACGAGCATGTACAAATTCTCGGCGAATCTTATTCATGTCCAAATTGCGGCCTCGAATTTCGCACTATTCTCAAATTAAATTATCACATAAAAACAAGTCATCCTCAACGTGAGGAAATTGACAATCGCAATCAAATGAATATTGTCCAAGCTCCAATTGGCTTGGTCGACAACAATATTATCAATCAACCACGTTACACTTGTCAAATTTGCTCGAGGACATTCCTCGCTCAAAGTCACTTACGAATGCACGAGGTGACACATTCAACGCCAATGAACAGTGTCACATCGACCTCATACGTTCAAACACCCAATGTCGCCACGAGACAAGAAAAAACCTTCTCCTGCGATCAATGCCAGGCGACATTTCGCTATCGAACACTACTCGAGCGTCATAAAAAATTACACGAGACAAATCAGGACAAACCCTATTCGTGTCCAAAATGTTTCATGCGCTTCGAAACACGTAATCTTTATAATCATCACGCGAAAACACACAAACCCGATTGTCGGGCAGTTGGTACAATTGCGCCAACTGCAATTGTACCGGCGACGCCGATAAACATAATAAGCCCACAATCGGGACTTTTAACAACGTCAAATCCTTCGTATCCCTGTGATTCGTGCACGAAGGAATTTCCAACACCTGAATTGCTCAATAGTCATAAATCGGTACATCGTTTGAGACCATTGGTGTGCGATGTTTGTGGCAAGGGTTTCACTCATCGTAAATATTATGTTGTCCATCAGCGTATTCACACTGGTGAACGGCCATATTTATGTGCAATGTGTGGAAAATCATTTACACAAGCATCAACATTGACGGTACATCGACGTTATCATACCGGTGAACGTCCTTATACTTGTACACTATGCGGTAAGGGTTTCGTTACACGCACCATTATGCTCAATCATATGAAAAAACATTAGAGAAAAAGAAAAATAGTTGTAATTTAGTCGTCGAAATGTTGTCTCTCTGTGATATAATTATTCTATCTACATTGTTATCGATGGCGTAATTACGAAATTTTTTAAAACCAAAAGGCAAATTTTTAATCAGATAGGTAATAATTTTTTTATAGGGAAATTTATCTGACACGGAAAACAAAATTTATTTGATTGAAATAACCGATTAGTTGACTATTGTCAATTAAATATTTAATTCAATCAAATAATATTTATTGGGCACAATTAAATTGTTGTTGGTTCAAATACTGAAATTATTGGTTCAAATACTGAAATTATTGTTCAAATAGACATTTAATTGACTCCAATAAATATTATTTGATTCAAGTAAATATTTAATTGATAATAGTCAAGTAATCGGTCATTTAAATCAAATGCTCAAGCTCTTTCGATAGATATTTATAAATTAGATTTTCTTCAAATATTCAAAGAATTCTGATAATTCAAAAAAATTCAAACACTTCACTGAAAATAATTTTTGTTTACTAAAAAATAATTTGCAAAAAAAATCAAGAAATTTAGAAAATTTTAAAAAATGCAAAAACTTTAAAACTGAGATTTTGATTTTTATCACAATTAGTAAAAAAAATCAATTTTCTCTCTAAATCTGAATTAGGACAATTCCACGTGAACTGATCCAAGAAAAAAAATTAGATTTTAAGAAAAGGGTTCTGCTACATCAGGGTTGCCACAGGTCAGGGAATTCAGGGAAAAATTAGGGATTTTTGTTAAAAGTACTGGAAAAAATTGAATTTTTAAAAATCATGACAAAACTCTGAATTTTGATGCTTTTTTTTTGTTTGCCTCATAAACTATGAAATTACCACGAATTTTAATACAAAACCTTCAATTTTTTCTATTTCTGACAATAATTTCTTTTTAAATAACTTAATTCTTGGAGATCTCTATCATAAAATTATGACTTATAAATTATTTAATGAATCATTTTTACAATTTTCATAAATACTAGATTGATAGAAGAATCTCAGTTAAAAATACTAAAAAAAAATTTGTATTTTGGAAAAGTTACAAATTATTCCAGAAATTCAATTATTTTCAAAAGTTATAAAAATTCTTCACAAAATTTCAATTATGTTAAATTTTTTTTTAAAAATTCTGGTCAAAATTTCAATTATCGCGAAATAGTAATAAAATTTTTATAGAAATTCAATTATTTAAAAATATTTTTATAAAATTCATGGCAAGAATTCAATTATTTAAAAAAAAATTTAACAAAGTTCTTTTCAAGAATTTAATTGTTTTTATAATTAATAAAAATCTTCACCGAAATTCAATTATTTTTTAAAGTTTTAATGATAATCGTTGAAAGAATTCAATTATTTTCAAAAATTTTAAAAAAAATTCCTAACAAAATTTATAGTCTTTTTATAAATAATAAAATTATTTTCCGAAATTTAATTATTTTAGAAAAATTTTAATAAAATTCTTGACAAAATTTCACAGGAATTCAATTATTTACAAAATTTTTAATAAATTTCTTCGAAATAATTCAATTATTTTCATAAGTAATAAAATTTTCACAGGAATTCAATTATTAAAAATACAAAATTTAATAAAATTTTTCGAAAAATATCAAATATTTAAAAAGATTTTTATAAAATTCGCCGCGAGAATTCAATTATTTAAAAAAAGTTAACAAATTTCTTTTCAAGAATTCAATTATTTTTATAAATAATAAAATTCGTTGGAAGAATTCAATTACTTTCAAAAGTAATAAAATTCTTCGCAGAAATTCAATTATGTTAAAAAATTTTTTGTCAAAATTTCAATTATCTTTATAAATAATAAAATTATTTTCATAAATAATATAACTCATCGCAGGATTTTATTTATTTTTGATACAATATTTTAATCGAATTCCTCAAAAAATGTAATTATTCTTAAAAATTTTATTAAAATTTGTCAAAAGAATTCAATGATTTAAAAATTTGTTCATAAAATTCTTTATGAGAATTCAACTTTAAAAAACATTCAATTATTCAATAAATTATTTATTTTTTAATTCAAATAATTGAATTCTTCTAGAAGTTTCTAATAAAAATTGATTTAAAAATGAATTACCGAAAAATCGATTTATTATTATTTATGAAAATAATTGCATTATTGCAACGAATTTTATTACATTTTTTTTAAATAATTGAATTTTTTTGAGAAATTTTACTACTTGTCAAAATAATTGAATTCTTGCGATGGATTTTTTAGGATTTTTGTAAATAATTAATTTTTTTTTGAAAAATATTATAATAATTTAAATTATTACAAAACATGAAGAAGGCGAAGACTTGTAATAATATTCTTATAGGTTGTTGAATTTCAAAAAGCTTTGATTTTGAATGTTTTGAAGAATTTTAATTTCCACGGAAAAATAATAATGATTAAATATTTATTTAAAAAAGAATTTATTGATGTTTTTGAATAATTTTACAATTAAAGAAATTTGTAAATAAATGTAATAGAACATTGTTTTGAGTATCTAATAATTTTTAGAGTGAATTAAAATATTCTTTAGGGTCAGGGAAAAAGTAAAAATTTTGTTTGGAAATCAGGGAAAAGTCAGGGAAAAATAAAATAAAATATTTGTGGCAACCCTGAAATAAAAGTCGAGACAAATGAAAATTCAGTGAAGTAGAATTTTTTTTAAATTGATTAAAGGAAGAATCTGATGGACATTCAAAATTAAAATTAGTCCAATATCATAATTTTATAAATTGTTACTTAAATTGTTTTTTATTGACAAAAAATTGTAACTTTTATTCAAATCAATTATTTAAATTGTCGAATATTCTTTAAATTTCTACCAAAAAGAATTTAAAATTTATTAAAGTCTTTTTCTTTCAATATACAAAATTCTGTCTTTTGTTCCGATTGTTTGTCGAATTCTTCCTTAAAATAGTAATTCTTCTAAATAAAAAATTAAAGAAAAAAATCCTACTAAAATATATCAATTTTCAAAATTTCCAAACTTCATAGTAGAAAAAGAATTATTAAAATATTTTAAAATAACTTTAAAAGAATTTTAAAAATAAAAGAAAAGTATTTCTTTTATTTGGACCTGAATTTTAAAATTAGGCTCAAAAAGTAGTTTTAAAACTTTAGGCGACTTTAGGTAATAATTTATTCACTCTAGGAACTTATTTTTTAAACGTATAAAGTCTAAAAAAAATTAGAAAAGTAAAATAATCTCTGTATAATAAACCAAAAAAGTAATATAAAAAAAAATGCTCAAATTTTAGAAAACAATGTAGATTACGTGCGTAACGAATTAAATATTATTCAGTTTCTCGTAAATTAAATCCCGCGAGAGAACAGACAATTATTGTCACTAACCATTGTTATTTGTTTAAAAAGGATGCGCACACAATTTAATGTCACAAGTTAAATAATTACTAGAGTCAAATTTTTTTTCAATTTTTTCCTAAAGTTTTGAACGTTCAAATGAATGAATTTCTCTTCTATTTAAATATTTTTCTTCTAAATACAATATTAAAATTGAAAAAAAAAACAAAAAGGCAAAATAATTAAAATTGAACATTTGTCTAATTGAGAAGTATTTTAATATACGAAATGATTTTCTTTTTTGAAAGTACAAATTAAAAGAAGTAAAAAAAAATATCGTCATTCAAATGAAGGTTCGAAACTTTAGAAACATTTTTCAATATAGAACGTAAAATTCGTCTGTGATGAAGAAAAAACTCAAGAAAAGTTTAGAATCATAAAACCTATTTTATTAATTTTATCGTAATGTTTAATACTTTTGTTTATTTTTTTATTTGAAAAAATATTGATTTAAATTTCATTCAAATACTAAAAAGAAAATTATTTGATTTGAACTACTTTTAACTATTATCAAATAAATATTTACCTGAACAAAATAATTTTTTTAAGTATAGTATTATTAATTAATGTAATAATTATTTAATTATTACATTACACATTTATTTAATTAATAATTTAATTTACTGCAATTAGTATAGTATTAATTATAAATAAATTGTATTCGAAACTAAAATTTCTTTCGTTCCAAATTTTTTATCAGTTGACTCAATATTTGTTTTTTTAGAAATATTTATTCAATAATAGTGAAAGAAAATAATTTTTTCTTCAGTTTAAAACGTCGCAAAATTTTTAATTTCAATTTTAAAAAATATTTGTAAATTTTATGTTATGTCTCAATATCTGTTGTTTTTAAACAGACTTTACTAAAATACTACGCGAAATGTTGTAAAGCACAAATTAGAAAAAGTTTCTTTCAAATTTTTCTAGAACAAAAAACAAATGTCAATTTTTAAAAAATTAGAAAACCAAAAACGGTGATAATTCGAGTGCCTTTTGTATTATTAGTATTATAAAAGTTACAAGGACTCAGCGAAAAATATATATGTTAACTGTATTTAATTACAGGCCTTATAAAGATAAATTAATAGAACTTTTATAATTTTAATATAAAGTAAAAAAAATATTTCAAAAGTAGAAAATATTTTCTATATTAAAAAAAAAAATAGTCATTACTTGTTTTTGATTAAAAAAATTTTGTATTCATATTTTTTCGGTACAATAATAATTAATATTATACGTTAATGTATATTTACAATAAATAACTAATACCTCAAAGTAAAATTAAAATTAATAAAAAAAAAAAAATTCTATAAAATTAAAGTAAAGTAATTAAATATTACGTGTGAAAAATATAAGGCCCGTAACGGTAATTGGTATTAAAGGTTGAAATGTGCCAACCTTCCAGCATTAATGGAATATTTTAATAAATAAATTTTGTGTGAACGGTATTTTAGATGTGTAAGGAAACAAAATATATTTATAAATTTAATTTCATCACCGCAAGATTATAATACTTGTCATATGTTAATTAATCGAGAACAAATGTTCAGAAAATGGGAGTTTTATTTTTGCTTAAGTTCTACTTCACATTTTCTCTACATAATGTTTTCATAAGTTATTATTCATTAAAATTTTAAGTATTTAAGTTTAAACTTAAAAGTATTAAGTATTTAAATTTAAATTAAAAATTATTAAGTATTTAAATTAAAAATTATTAAGTATTTAAATTTAAAATGATTAAATATTTAAATTACAAACTATTAATTATGTAA